TTTTTAGCAATCAGAGTTGTTTACGTAGACTAATTCTTCAATTATAGGTTTCCCTCTGCCAGTTCTCATCCCCATGGAGGTTTCTGCTCCAGAAATTTGTGATTTTATATTCACCTATCAGTCTTCCTAATTTGGGATGGCAGTTTGTCCTCACTTCATATGTCTAACAGATGTAAGAAGAATTTTTGAATTTTCAGTTTGTTGAGCTTTTTAGTTATTGTTAGAATGGAATGGCAACTTCCAAATTCTTTACATATGAAAGTAAAAGCATTATTTTTTTTAAAGGTTGCAAGTTGGTGATATTGTCATTCTGTTCATTTATTCAGCGGAATTTTTCTGCAAGAAAGTTTCCCATCTATTACAGACGTTAAAGAAAAAAATGTTTGCTTTCATAAATAATTTGACTACCCTGAATTTCAGTTTGTACAGGAAGAGTAGTTGGGGGGGGGGTGTTAGCTTTATTTACCAATTTCAGAAAAATGAATACGTATCCTAGCAATCTTGAGGGGCAACCAGTGAGGGTTTTCTTAAGCATTATTAAAAATTCATTTATTTTAACATTTATAATGTTTCAATCCATTGTAGTCAAAAACTTGGTGCTTTAATTACCACTTCTTCTGCCAGTAAGAGCTCTTTCAAGTTGTATATTATGTCACTGGTGGCAGAAACACATACATATGCAAGACTCTATCTTGTTTCCCAGATAGTGGACATATATCTGCTCACATCCCATTGACCAAAGCAAGTTATATGATGAAATGCAAAGTCACTGGGATGGAAAAATGTGCTCTGCCCAAATTGAAGGCATAAACTATAGTGGAAGATTATGGGATTTGGTGGTAGGTGTAATGTGGTATCATATATTTGAAAAGGTGTGAATCTATAGTCATAAGTCACAGAAGAGTTGTAAACCTCAATGAAATAAACATAGTGTTAAAAAAATGAATTCAAGAGAAATGGGATTTTTTTTTAAGTTTTGAACTATAATACTATTTACCACATTGGATGTAATGATTGGTTTCATATGTCAACTTTACTAGACTACTATACCCATTTACCTAATCAAACACTAATCTAGCTGTTGCTGTGAAGGTATTATGTAGATGTGTTTTTCATCTATAGCTGGTTGACTTTAAGTACAGGATATTATTCTTGATAATGAGGGAAGGCCTTTTACAACCAGCTGAAGGTCTTAAGAGAAAGAACTGAGTTTTCTCAGAGAAGAAATTCTGCCTCAAAACTATAACAGTAACTCTTACATGGTTTTCAATCTACCAGCCCATCCTAAGATTTGACTTGCCAGTCACTACAATTGCATGTGTCAATTCCTAAAAATTAAGGGATGATGTGAGTCAGTCCAATAATGCAAGGAAAAGAAATAAAGATATCCAATTTGTAAAACATAAAACTATCTCAATTAAGAGATGATGTGATTCTATGCATAGGAACCCTGAAGAACACACACAAACAGAACAGATACACATACACTCATACAAACACTTGTAGCTAATAAATTCAGCAAACTTGCATGTACAAGATCAACAATGAAAAATCAGTTGTGCTTTTATATGCCAGCAAGCAATAATTTAAAAAGGAAATTAAGCAGAAATGTCTATGAGTAAAACTGTGCCCTAAAAATTCATATGTTGAAGCCATGACCCCCAATATGCCTATTTTTGGAGACAAGGTCTACAAGATGGAGTTAAAAGTGAGATCCTGACTATATAGAATTAATGTCCTTATGAGAAGAGCCACCAGAGCTTGCTCACTTCACTGCCCTCTCTCTCCCTTTCTCCTCCCATCTGTGAAAACGATGAGAAGGCTGTTATGCGTAAGTCAGGAAGACAACTCTCACCAGAAACAAAATAACAAGCATTTTGGACTTACCAGCCCCAGAACCTTAGAGAAATAAATTTCTGTTTGTTCAAGATACTCGATCTGTTGTACTTTGTTATAGTAGCCTGGGCGGTCTAAGATAGCACTCAAATAAACGAATATCCAGTGATAAATTTAACTATGGTGGTAAAAGATATAAACACACTGCTGAAAGAAATTTTTGAAAGTATAGATAAACAGAAATATATTGTGTCATGGATTACAAGACAATATCTGAAGGTACCAATATTTATCAAAGTGATCTGCTGATTGAGTGCAATTCCATAAAGATCCCAAAACCATCTAAGGAAATGGAAAAGCTGGTTTTCAAATTCACATAAAATTACAAGGGAAGCAGAATAGCAAAACAATATTTGAAAAAATGAAACTAGAGAATTTACATGTTCTAATCTCAAAACTTATTACAAAGCTACAATAATCAAACCATGTGGTACTGGAATAGAGTAGACATACAGACCAATGCAAAGAATTAATAATCCCAAAACAAATCCATGTCTGCAGCCAATTTGTTTTTGACAAGGATGTCAGATCAGGGGATAAGAATAGTTTCTTCAATCAGTAGCTCTGGAGCAACGCGCAAAAGAATGAAATGAAAACCCTACGTCATACTCTACACAAAAACTAATTCAAAATTGATGAATGACTTAAGTAGAAGAACTAAAACCACAAAGCTTTTAGAAGAAAACATCAGGGCACAACATTTTGACCTTGGATTCTGCAATAGATTCTTAAGCATGACTATAAAACACAAACCACAAGAGAAGAAATTGATAAATTAGACTTTATCAAAATTTTTAAAGTTTGTGCATCAAAGAGCAAAGAAAATTACCAAGAAGTGAAAAAACAACAGGGATAAACAAATGCAAATCATATATCTGGTAAGGATTTAGTATACAGAATATTTAAAGTGCTCATAATTTAAAACAAAGACAAACAATCCAAGTAAAAAATGAATTAAGGATTAAAATGCAATTCTCAAAAAAAAAAAAAAAGAGCTATACAAATGGGCAAGAGGACATGAGAAGATACTTATCGCTAGCCATTTGTGAAATGCAACTCAAAACATGAGGAGAAACTATCATTTCAGACCTAACAGAATGACTATGAAAAAAAAAAGCAAACATTGGTGATTTACTTTACAAATGGTTTGCAACTGTCTTAGCCACTGTGGAAAATAGCTTATCAATTCATCTTATGTTTAAGAAAAGAATTACCATGGAACCCAGCAATTCCATTCCCAGATATTAACAAAGACTTTCTCCTTACCTATACATTTGTCAGGCTCCTCTAAGTCCTCCAAGTTTCCTCATTAACTTCTGCCCTATGCAATCTGAATACCTGAATCAAACAGTTATAACAAGAATCTAAGTTAGAGCAATGGCTCCACATGTGTATCTAACTACACTCAAACTCTGATCAAATTATTCATCCCCTGTGTTCTTGGTGCCTTTAGTGGGAATCCTGTCAAGTCAGATTAGCTTGAAACCGCCCAAATTCCCTTTTTCCTTGTTTCTGGTATTTCTTCTAAGGAAATTTTGTCCACTGATCCTCATCCTGCTTATACCCTGTAAATATCCAAATGTTCATGCTGTCTTTGGAATTGAGCCTAGTTCAATACAAGATCTCTTTTTTTTATTGTAATGGAAATCTATTTTTACTACTTGAGCTACTATCACCTTCGTTGTTTAACAGATTATACCCAAAAAAAAAAAAAAAAACCCTTGAAAATAGGGACTCAAATAAAGCCTCACAATATTCATGGTAGCATAATTCACAATAGCTCAAAAGTGTAAAAAGCCCAAATGTATGTTTATGTTTGATTGGATCAAATTGTAGCATAGTCATGCACTGGAACAGAATATTAGCCACAAGAAGAAATTAAGTACTGACATTTGCTACAAGCAGGATGAATCTGGAAAACATTTCTCAAAAGGTCACTTTTCACTTATATGAAATATACAGATTAGGTAAATCTATAAATCAGAAAGCAATTGGTATCTGCCTGTTCTGGGAGAGCACAGAATGAAGAACAACTGCTTTATGGGGGTGATGAAAAGTGTTTAGAAACTGAACAGATGTGGGGTTGCATTTGTCACTTCAATATATTTTATTTTTATGTTCAATGAATTTCATTCACCTCAACATGTTTTTAATTTTATAACCAACAACCAAAGCTGTTTAAAGGTACAGAACTGCAATTAGACACTACAGTGTGTTCTGTTTACACAGTTTTTGAATTTTCAGAACTCTTCAGTAAAGTGGGTTTTTTACATTAAATTCATTAGTACTGTAAATTACTGTTGTAGGCAGCCAGGCTTGAACCAGTAAATGCAGGAATTATGTCGTTCCCTCTCCACGTGGATGCATTGGGCACCAAGGCAAATGAGTTCCAAGCTCTTCCACAGGACTTCCCACCCCAAAAGCCACAGCCCACCTCATATTTTACGGCCTAAAAAGGCAAGACTCTGAAGGTGGTCCAGGTCCCGCCGCCTGGCGGCCGATTTTCGCACGGACTTCTCTGGAGACATGCCCGCAGGCCCCACCCCCTGGCGCCCGAGCCAATCACCGGCGGTAAATTCCTCCCAGCCCCACCCCTTCCGCCCACAGACGCACGCTCGCCCCGCCCAGCGCTCCAGACGGAAGTGCGGGCGCCGGGACGGGCCGGGGGCTGCGCGGGGGTGCTGCGCCGGCCGCGGGGTGCTCCGACCGGGCAAGTATCCTGGCGCGCGGAGTAAGCCGGCCCCCCTCATTCCTGCTGAACTAGCGGCTGGGAGTTGAGGCCCAAAGCGGCGGCGGCCGGCCCTGGTGGGCAGCGGAGGGGGGCGTGGCGGCGGGAGGGTTAGGCGCGCGAGAGCCAGTTGGGGTCGGAAGTGAGCGAGCGGCTTCCCGAGCGGCTTCGCGGTCATCGGAGCCGGGAGCTCGCGGGGGATGCACATTGTTCCCGGGGCCGGGCCGGGCCGGGCCGAACCGAACCGAACCAAATCAAACCAGCCACCCTGCGGGTGACGCCCCGTCGCTATTCGCGGCGTTGCGCATCTTCGTTTGGGTTTTTTTTTTTTTTTTTTTTTTGAGTCCGGGATGTCGGTTACAGGTACTTCCAGAAACTCGCGAGAATTCGGCGTAACGTTCCTCTGGGGGCGGGAGTCTTGGTGTCCATGTTGAATAGAGGCTGCCGTTGGCGCCGCTGCGTCGTTGGGCGATTTGCAGGTGAATGAAAGGGTTGGCGCTGTAAGGAAAGGAGAGCCAGGCGGAGTTTCTCACAGGCAAGAAATTTCCTGCGCTCACAGGCGAACCCCGTTGCGGGAGAGCGCGAGATTTTATTTATTTATTTATTTATTTTTACTTTTATAAAGCCCCTTACCATTGCACCCCGCTTATTTTGACCCCAACCCCTCCTTTCCCGGCTCCCTCCTCCCTAGTGTGTCTCTCGTTTATAGTTGTTTGTTGATTTTGATTTTTTTCTCTCTTAGTTATTCTTTTTCCTGGTCCCTTATTTAGGTTTTTCAGATTCCCGCTATGAGTGAGACCATCCGGTATTTTTCTTTTTCTTTCTGGCTTATTTCGCTGAACATGATCCCTTCCAGCTCCATGACCATGTTGCTGCAAATTGCATGAGTTTATCTTTTTTGATTGCTGAGTAATATTCCATTGTGTATATGTACCACATCTTCTTGATCCAGTCATCTATTTTGGGGCATTTGGGTTGTTTCCAAAGCTTAGTTATTGTAAATAGTGCTGCTATAAACATAGGGGGGCAGGTGCCCTTTGGAATTAATGTTTCTGTGTCCTTGGGTGATGCAAATGGCCCACAGGCATATGAAAAAATGTTCAACATCACTTGTAATCAGGGAAATGCAAATCAAAACTACCATGAGATACCATCTTACACCAGTGAGAATGGCACATATCAAAAAAACTAGCAACAACAAATGTTGGCGAGGATGTAGAGAGAAAAAAAACTCTCCTGCACTGCTGGTGGGAGTGCAAACTGGTCCAACCACTATGGAGAGCTGTGTGGAGATTCCTCAACCCACTAAAGATAGAGCTTCCATGATCCAGCAATTCCACTCCTAGGTATCTACGAAAAGGGCGAGCTTTTATAGGCAGGGTTTGGCCTTGGAGGGAGGTGGAGAATGCTGAGGCAAAGTTGCTTTTCAGAGAAGTTTTTTCTCTCAGAACTGGTTGGTCTTTCAAACGCTGCTTATCAGGCCTTGTGCCAACAGGGCAGAGCTGGCTCCCTGGATGCAGGTGGCAGCAGTAGTTTCAAGTTCCCTCCTTCTGAACCTCATCTCTGCCCTGGCCTCGACCTTACAGTAAACCCGAAGCTGGAGCTGTTGGAAGAGACTCCGGTTTATCAGTAAAATGAACGGAATGATTTCGACGTTAGTTATTGGTAGTTCAGAACCACCGCAAGATGAGAGCTGCGTTTTCTCGGGTGCTGTGTGTTAAATTCCCTGGCAGGATTCACGCAAGGGAGCGACTAGCAAAATTTTTGGAGTAGATTAAGTATGTGATTGATAATCTTCATGTAAATTGGATCAAAATATAGAACAGTGTGAGCTGAGCAGAATCGTGTATTTAATGCTTTGTTTTTTAGAATCTAAAACTGCTGGCTTGAGTGGTCTGAAAATTGTAAGACTTGGTAAAAAGAATCTAAGATGAAAAATTGAAGAACTTTGAGTACGTGTGGTCTTGTGTCATCTCGGGAAAGTCACTTTTTCTGAATGCCACATTTTGTGAAATGGAAGTGAAGATTGCAATAGTTGTCTCATGATTCTAGTAAATTTTGTTCACAGTTGGATTGTTTGGGTTGTGTTTGACATACTTGATGATTTTTGTGTGTTTGTGTAGCTTAAAGTCACAAAACTTTCCTATCTGCCCAATTTAGTGACTTAGATATCTAAGTTTTGCCTGGAGGTAGTGTATCTTCATTAAGATTCCATGTTCAGAAATTTGCATCTTCACCTGAAATCTGTGAGCTCTTTGAGGTGAAGAGTATTCTTTTTTTTTAAGATTTCTGAAATCTATGGTGCCTGTCGTGTGTGTGTGTGTGTGTGTGTGTGTGTGTGTGTGTGTGTGAGAGAGAGAGAGAGAGAGAGAGAGAGAGAGAGAGAGAGAGAGAACGACAGAGACAGAGAGAAACCGAGAACCGAGAATCCACTGGGGAGCTCCAGACCAATTAATCAGAATCTCTCAAGTGCCTCTGAAGTGCTCCCTAGATTGAGATGAGAATGCATGTGTGGCAGAAATGAAATTCTTTGAGAAAGTATCTGCTTAAAAAGAGAAAGGGCTGAAGAGACTGGGACTACATCTGACAATTTAGGAGAGGGGTGGGAAATATTAGATTATAACCATTGGATATGATACCTGTGATTTGTAAAGTGAACTGTTAAGTGACTGAAGTCAGTGAGCAAACTGTTAGAATAATAGGAACAGTGAGAGCAGCAACAGTGATGATAAATGAAATTCAAATCATTTTTCTCTTTCTTGAATATTAAATATTTTTAAAGAAACTAATGAGTTTAACTTACAAACTTTATTTTGCCTTACTTAGCTAAAACTACTTATTAACTGTGAATGCTGGTTATTGAAAAGTGTAAGATATATATATGCCTCAAATAATTTTCCTTGTTAATTGCTACATCTCATTCATCTATGTTAATATGATGGTTTTGTCGTTTTTTACTTTTACAGTACCGAAAGATTTATATTAAAAGACATGGTTTTCACCTCACTTCCTCAACAAAGATAGATTTTTTTCTTCTTTTCGATGCCTATTTTATACCACAATGGTAAGCTACAGCTCAGTACAGTTATATTTGTTTTCAAATGTTCTTTTCCTTCATCTCCATAAAAATACCTATCTTATATTGTACACTGTCAGTTACTTTAATTGGGAAATTACTTAGCAGTCACATGCAAAATGTTCTTTACAAAATATGGGGCTCATCTCTCCATTCAGAGTTAAAATTATATGTAAGTTACGTAATCTTTTAATCTTTGTGAAGTATTAAAAGAAGATCTATCCACTTTACCAATTTATTGGCAAGGAGGATGGGTATAAATACAAATAGTTTGTGGGGTACCCCAGGTTTCTCATGTTTTAAAATTCCTCTTCATTTAGATTTTTTAAAAAGCTAACTTAACCTCCTTACTGCAAAAAAAAAAAAAAAAAAGCCATCATTTAAACAGCATCAGTGTTAGATTTCTGTTGTCACATTTCTGTTCACCAATTTACAGTTACTAAAGGTACATATGCATAGGATGGGCATTTAACTTTTCCCATTAAAAAAATTGAAGACAAATGGAACGAATCATTTTTTAATGTTTGAAAGAAGAACAGCATTTATCAGAGAAAAATGAACATTAACTGCCATGTTGAAAATAGATCTCAGTAAACATTTAACTTCCTTCTGTGGGCATCTTGCTATCAGCACCCATTCTGTTATTGGGATGCAAACCTCATCTGATATTTTGCATCCATAATAGTTAATCACTTTTCTCTTAAGTATTTAGAAGAGATAGGAATTAATGATACTTGTATTTACATATGGCGGTATCTATCCAGATCTTTTGATGTTTAAATTTCCAAAGATGAAAATAATTTGCTTGAGAAGACTGAAGGTTTAAAATTGTCCTCAAGTATATGCTTTGTTGTGTTTATTATGATTTTTATATAATCTTACATTAAAGTTTTATAGCCGGAATAATCAAAAGAACCTATGTATTTGCCAAGGGTATATGTCCAGAGTTATGTTTTTGTGATGGAAAGTGGTTTATATTTAATTTCATCCTGAATCTTGGAACTTGTTTCATTGAAAAATCTGCTCCTTATAAGATTTTTTAATAAATTGCTATCAGTTTTAGCTGAACCCTTTGAAATAATGGCATATTTCAGATTTTTTTCCACTCTTTATATTTTAATGTGGTCCTTTTTTTGCAGCTCGAAAAGGCCAACTATTTTTAATCATGAATTCTCTATCCTCAGGGCTAGCCTGGTAGTCATATAAACCTTTTCATAATTTTAAAAACTGGTAGTATTTATTCTTCCCCTATCCTCTCTTGGTGGGTGCTGAGAGTTCTATCCCATGCTACTTGGCAGATTGAATTATTGTAGTCTATGAAATAAAAGAAAAATGTAGGTGCAATGTGTGTGCCGCGTACACACACACACACATATATAAATAAATGTGTGTGTATAAATAATGAAAGATTGATTTATACCTCTCAGTGAAATTAAAAATTACTATTTTGAATGAAAAATACAATGACCTTGTATGGCACCCAAAACACAAAAAGAGAAATAAGGGCCTCCCTGGTGGCACAGGGTTTTAAGTCTCAGCACTATCAAGCTATCAGCAGTCACTGCAGCATGAGTTTGATCCCCAGCCAGGGAGCTAACCCACATGGTTCAGCAGACCTTTCCTGCCTTCCCCACTGCCCTCTCAGCAGTGTTTTTCAGTATATCTGTCTGTTCTACTTCCACTCTGTCTCTGGTGAATCTTCTCACCCCCGCACACCTCTGGCTTACACTCTAGTTCTTGTATGCATAAATAAATAGAAATAAATCTTTAAAAGAGAGAACTAAAATCGTTGGTTATATATTTGCTATAATGTTGATCATACTACTTTTTATTCTTAGATTTTATTACAAAATAATGCTTTACAAAGGAGCAAGACAGAATTTACCTTTTTTCTCCCTCTCATCTTAAAATAATTCTCTAAGAAACTGGATGAAGGGGGATTAGTAGTAGATTACAAGCCATACATGTGGCAGTAGTACTAGATGCATTTTCTCTTTTCATTTTAATATTACTGAATTGATGAATCTATAATTATGATACATTATGTGAAGTTATAATTGGTAGCATTTTTTTCTTCCTTACTGTTAGCTAAAATAATGCTCATGAGTGATAGTATCTTAAATTCTCTGAAACATGGTTATGATAGCCAACACTTATTGCATTTCTGCTAGGCACTAACCTAGAAATGTTTCATTGTACATTCTGTGTTACTATATTAAGATTTGTCAATTTTAGTTATTAACATATCAATACCCCAAATTTTCAGGATTCCTAGCAGGTTAGGGGAGTTTAGTCTTTGCTTCACTGTAAATACTTGATGACAAGTATATTTTCCTGAATGGTAGTCTTAAATAATGTCAAAGAAATTAAGTTTATAAAATGTCCTTACCACACCCAACCCTCAGCCTTGTATCAGCTTCACAAGCCCTGGCCAGAGAAAATCATTTTAGCATTTCTATCTTAATTTGTTTTCATAATCAAGTGCCCAAGACTCGTATTTTTTTCTCTTTTTTTTTTCTTAAGATTTATTTATGCATATAAGAATTGGGGTACAGGCCAGATGTGTGGGAGGGTGAGAGAGGTAGAGTGGGGAACAGAACAGGCAGATTGACTGAAATACACTGCTGAGGGGAGCAGCAGGCAAGTCAGGAGAGGTTTCCTGCACCATGTGGGATCGAACTTGTGCTGCAGTGGCTGCGGATACCCTCATAGGTTGCGTCTTAATCCCTTTCACCACCAGGGAGGCCCTGTCGTATTTTTTTCTATGTAATGTATTTTGAGCATTCTGTGGAGTGGGTGAAAAAGGGAAGGAGAATGTGAGACTTGTTTTTAGAAACTTTCAGATAATAAAATTCATATAACCACTTAGAAATGTTAAGTGTATATTAAATGTTTTTTTAAAAATAACTAAATACACTATTTGCTTTTTATAGCAGCAAGCTTTAGAACTAGCTTTGGATCGTGCAGAGGTAAGGCATGACTAAGTTACATATTGAAATCGTGTTGTCTGACAAAATTTGTACATACTAAAATATCAGGTGATGCCTGGATCATCTGTTAGTTGGACTCCTCAGATAATAATGTTGGGAATGAAATAAAATGCTATGGACTATTGTTTGAACTAGGATGTTGAATTTCTAAAATTATGTTTTCCTGTTTTGGCAAGTTTTCTGATAGCTTAAAGGGAAAAATAGCTCAAGACACTAGAGTACTTGCAATTGGATATGCTATGCATATTATGAACAACCATAAAACATTAAAATATTTCTGACCTGAAATAAAAGTCAGGGAACTGGATGGTTGCTTATGTCATAGCAGCGAAATTAAAGTGCTAAAATTTAGTGTAGTTAAAATTTCACTTATTTTTAACATATATTTAGAGGTTACGTTGTATTTCTTACAAGTGAGATTTTAATATGAATAAGACTTGAATTACTGGATAGCATTTTTTAGCCTCATAATTGTTTTTTATATACTTAATGTAGTTGTTTATGCATCACGAAAACTTTTCTTTTTCAGTATGTCATTGAAAGTGCCAGACAGAGACCTCCTAAAAGGAAATACCTCTCTAGTGGAAGGTATGAATACTGAATTGATGTCACCTTAGATAATGATAGCCAACATTTATTACAGTCCCACTAGGCAGTGAGCTAAAACTGTTAAATTATGCATACTTTTGAATGTATCGGAAATTTCTCTAAGTTGATGTTAACTAGTGTATACAGCCCCACTAAATACATTATTTGCTTTTTATAGCAGCAAGATTTAGAACTAGCTTTCTCTACTATAGGGGGAGTTGTTGGAAAATATGGGAAAATTAAAAAATAACTTCTGTGGTTATTACAGTCACATTTCATATATTTTCTCTGTTTTATTCAATAGAAAATCTGTATTTCAAAAACTTTATGACTTATATATTGAAGAATGTGAAAAAGAGCCTGAAGTTAAGGTAATTACGGTGTGTTTGTGTCATTCTGTCATTTGAAATGTAAAGAAAGAAATTTGAAGAAATTAAATTGCAAGCAATTTAATGAAAGTAGTCACTGTACTGAGTGAACTAACATTTGTTCTAGCCATTTGTTGTAGTCAGGTCTGCAGCTGACCCAAAGACCTGGATAGTCTGGCACCAGGCAGAACCAACATCACCTGCGTAGGCAGGAGATGGGAACAGTATTTACTGTGTAGTAGAATATTTCATTGGGAAATCAACAGAAGCAAATTCTGTATTATGTTTCCCTTTTTTCCCCCAGGAAGTGATTTGTAAACCAAAGACAGGAGAAAAGTAACTTACTTCTTCATGGTGGTTTGCAGCAGAAAGTTAAAGCCGTTATAGGACATGTAGAAAATTCAAGTGTGATAATAAAAAAAATTAGTTACAAAAATAAGCTCATGGTTCCCTGATAAAAAATTTGTTTCTGTTTTGCATATAAGTAGAAACTTGCTTAGTCTACTGTAGAAATGTAGCCTTTTGGAACTTCAGAGGGCTCCAACAGCTTCTGTTTGTCATTTATTAAAAAATAAATACTTTTTCACCTTTAGGCAAAAATCAGTGGAATCTAGTAGTATCCAGTCTTTAAAATCTTTACATTAAGAAAAAGGTGATTGCTAAACTGTAAATGAATCAATCTTATGGTATGTTTTCCATACATTTTATTGAGATAGTTGACATACAAAAAACTGCACCTATTAAAAAGTATACATTCTATAAATACCCATATTAGCCCCACAGTCAGCATAAAGGAACATAATCCCTTACCTCAGAGGCAGAATTAAGAGAAATAAATCAATATTATAAGCTAGGTTTTGCAACCATTGTCCACCAGCCAGATCTGGGCCACTTTGTTTTTATATATGAAGTTTTGTTGGAATCTAGCCATAGCTATTGGTTTAGGACTTAACTGTGACAGATTTAGGGTACAGCAGCAGAGTTGAAAAGTTGTAAACCATATGGTCCAGAGCTTAAAATACTATTTGGCCCTTTAACAGATAATTTTTTGACTCTGAAATAAACAGCAGCTTGTTTTCTTAAAGAGGTACTCATCATCACAATTTTTTTTTTTTAATCTTAGATCAAATTATATGGTTTTCCCTGTACTTGAAAACACATGAAAATTTGTCTGTCTCTACTAGTTTTAAATATCAAAGTGGCTAAAAATTGTTTTTACCCCTTATTTTTTTTCAGTTTTCATCATGCAGTTTTTTGGTTCTGTGTTGACAGATTAGTAATTGATTTTCTGCATGGGCCTGAATATATCGATAAACTCAATATAAGATACTCAAAACATTGATTTTTTTTTTTTTTTTAGATTCTGCAAAATATTCTGTTGTCTAATTTTTATAAGTAAGATTTGACAGAATGAATTGTTACGTATATAAGTGAATTTCTTTTAAATAGTATGTTTCTAAAACCATGGATTTTGATGTTATTTATTCTATTAGTACTTCCTGATGGATTTTTATTTTAAACAAAGTAGTTTCTAAAGAGCTATAAAATTTAGAGAAAATTATTTTTACTTATCAATTAGATATTTAGGGATCAACATTGCAGCTAATTATAGTTGTTGAACTTGCTTAGATATAATTTAGGCAGGCTATAAAATATTTAAGAAATATACACTTGCAACAGCACAACCAAAGAGAATGCCCTAAACTTTTCATTTATTTATTTACTTGCATACTTACAGAAACTAATATATAGCATGTTTTATATTTTAACACTATGTTTTAATAATGTTAAGATTTTGATATTTGCTGCTTATGTACTCAGTTTTATATTTAAGTATTTTATTGCTTTATAGATCTCTAGTTTTTCTTTATGATAGAAATTAATGTGTATAAAACATAGTAATCATTAAAATTAAGTTTATGTAGAGATCCTATACTTGGTAGCAATACTGTTTTTTTTCCTACCTATTCATGGTGTTAATGTGGACGAACACCAAACAGTTGATCAGGTCTGATTTTGTTAAAGCATACCATTTTTTGTTACGCTTATGCTGGGTTATTTTCATGAGCTCTGCCTTTCTTTAAAGCAGAAATTAAGAAGAAATGTGAACTTGTTAGAGAAGCTTGTTATGCAAGAGACATTGTCATGTTTAGTGGTCAACCTATACCCAGGAAATGAGGGATATTCTCTGATGCTCAGGGGAAAAAATGGATCAGGTAAGAATCTCCAGAAAGCAGAGGATGAAAAATCCTCTGCCAGGTAGGATGTACTGTGTTTGGAAGTAGCTTCCACTGAAAGGTCTCTACTTCAGATCAGTAAAGACTTGATAAAAGAAATTTTGGTTCCAAATTTACTCTCTATGATGCTTTGTTAGACTATCTCTAATATGATTAGCTTTCCTAAATAGGCATTTGAGAAGTCTTTAGCTTAACTTGATCTTTGAAGTTAAATAATAAAATATATTGTTCTTAAAGTCAAAATTTACTTTTGTTTTACTGCTGTTTCTATTTTAACATAAGGTATTTAAAGGTATGTTTCTTTACATATTGAATTCTACATCTAAAATCTTCAAAATTAAACAAACTCATTGCCCTTTGCATAATTTTCACTTCTAATATTTGTTTCTGTTAGTGTGTATATATAAAAATAGTTTTTAAAATGTAAATACTCTTAAATTTCAATAGAGAAGACTGAACTGTGATATGATGGTATTACATATGGGTTCTACAGTGAACTCAGCTAGTTATATTTCTTATGATAATTATAAAATGTAACAGTGAATTTTCTTCTATGAGTAACTATTTTTCAAATTAGGTATCAAATTATCCTTTTGGTTTACAGATTAAAAATTTTCAAAGAACTTTCAATTTCTGATGTTGGAATTTTACAACTGCTCGTTGTGGTTTGTCTTGTGATGTTATGCCGATGTTTTTCTGTACTAGGTTAGCCATTTTTCTCCTCTCTCACCTAAATTGTATACAGTCTACCAAGTCTTTTAGAAATAGGTAAAGTTGTAAGGGATTTAAATTAAAAGGATGTTAGTAGCACCTTTGGTCTTTTTTTCTATTTTTTTATGAAAAGCCATTTAAATTACGCACCTAGGCTTTTTATTGAGCCTGATTATTTTCAGAAACTTTGTTTTAAAATTAAGATTCTGAGACCATTCGACTGCCTTATGAAGAAGGAGAATTGCTTGAATACTTGGATGCAGAAGAATTGCCTCCTATTTTGGTTGATCTCCTAGAAAAATCTCAGGTACAAAATTATTCTCATTAGATTATCCTAAAATTTGTCAACTATATGTTAATTTGTGTTGAATGATACTTGTTCTCAATAGTGCTCAGAACATAAACATGACTTTGTGCATAGTTATGAGGAAATTGGCTTACTATGGGATATTTATCCTTTAGACTGTACTGAAAGGTATTTTAGTTCTTCTAAAATTACTATATTAATTAACTCATCTGTTGAAAATGTCTCTCAAGCTACAATCAGGACATTATAGAACAAACATCTTTACTCCCTAAACTTTACCTCTGACATACTGTGAACTTCACTGAGGGAAAATGAAGCTGTCAGATGAGAATTCCATTTTCTCTTAGCACCTGTCAGCCAGCATCTCCACATCTCTGCCCAAACTTTCTGAATGCCTTCCTGTTAAAATGGCTGAAGTATGCTATTCCTAAGAATTTTCTTCCTCTGTAGGAACTTGGAACCACATTGTATTGTCTCTTAAAAACTTTTCCCTTGACCCCATGTTCTTCGCCAGCTACTGCTCTATACTTCTTCTCTTACAGAAAAGATACTCAAAAAAGGCTATTTATAATCATGTCCTTTTACTCACAACCCATTCTTTTCTACCCACCTGTTATATCACTATCATACAGAGGCTGCTCTGGTTAGGTTACCAGTGATCTCCAGCACTGAATCATCCAGTCTCTTTTTTTTGGTTGTGTTGTTTTTTGTTTTTTGTTTTTTTTTTTAATTTATTTATTTATACAAGCACTGGGTACAGTCAGAAGCGCGGGAGGGCGAGAGAATTCACCAGAGCCAGAGCAGGGAGCAGAGCAGGCAGAAGGACCAAAGTACACTGCTGAGGGGAGCAGCGGGTGGCAGGAGAGGTCCACACGCCATGTAAAACCCTCCTCTGGTGGGCCGGGGAGCAGCCAGGGATCAAACCGGCGCCACAGAGGCCGCGGCCAGCCTCGCAACCCAGCACTCAACCGCTGCGCTACTGGGGAGGCCCGTGTTTTTAAATGGTTTGTTTGCATTCAATTCAGATGACTACTTCCTCCTGAAAATATCTTTTTCTCTTCTGAGCACACATCTGGCTTTTCTCTTCCTTCTCTATTCCTCTGGTCTTTGCTGTCACCTCTGTACCACCCATAAATGTGTTAAGGTTTAAGAGTTGAGTCCTAGACCCTCTTTTCCTTAATTACATTGTCCATGGGTGATCTTGGTCCATTACATAAGGTTAAAAATGGCATTTAATTCCTTGCTTATGTGTCTCTCACAATGACCATTTCACCAATCTCCAAACTAACATTAACTAGAATATAGGACAAAACTAAACTTTTTCATTTAATCTCCAAAATCAGTTTCTGTCACCAGGCCTCTATCTAATGAATGACCCTACTCTTGACTTTCACACTCAGTCCGCTAGCAAATGTCAGTTGTACCTGCAAAAATATGGTTGTGATCTGCTATAGTTACCTTGCTAAACTCTTTGCTTTCAACTCTATAAGCTCGGAACTTGGTTTTCCGACAGACACATTAAAGTTACAAAGCTGAAACAAAGCCAAAATATTTGCTTAAAGTTTTCTAGTGTTATCTCACTCCACAACCCCCCTGCCTTCCTGTGTGTCTTTACCTCCTGTTTCTTATTCCCACTCACTATACTCTAGCCATTTCTTCCCATACTAAAACACACCAAACTTATTCCTGCTTTATTTATTCCTTTTCATCTGCTGTTCCTTTTGTCTGGAATGATGTATATACCTGATGTCCAATCCTCTGAATAATCCAGGTTTCAGCTGAAAGGTGGCTTCCTCAGAGAGGTGTTTAAGCACCCAATCTAAATTAGCTCCTTCCTGTTTGAATTTCTTAATAGCATTTTTCACTAATAAAGATACCTTGGTTTTTGGTTTACATATTTATTGCCTATTCTCCCATACTGAGAGTAAGTGTTGTTTCACCACTTTATTGTTGAAACTTGTTAGACAGTGATTGGCACATAGTTTACAGTAATATGACCCAACAGATAACTTATTCAAAATCATGAACATAATAATGGCTGATATAATGTGGAGTATTGGAACTCACTAAAACTTCTGCGGGGTGCAGAGACATACTATGAACCACTATACAGCTGATAAGTAGCAAGACTTGAGTGATAAAAGATACCTTTGGAGTCAGAAAAAGGACCAGGCCCTATTTTTTAAAGACAGTGTTTTTAACAGAAGATTATTTGAGTTTAAAGTTAGCTTTCTTCCTATTACTAATTAATACACTATCTTATTTCTAGAAATTTTGTTAGAGCAATTATGGAATTGTATCCAGGAGCTAAGATTCTGGTTTGGCTGATATGACAATTTATAACAGTGACATGGTTAACAGAAAATCACCATGAGCCTATGCACATTAAGAGGAACAGCAGTTCCAGTGATCTATAACATTAATAGTATATAAACGCCAAAAGTCACTCTATAAGCAAAAAAACAATTAAAACTGCTTCTTTAGTCTCAGTGATGAGCATAAAAATTCTTTTTACAAGGTTTATATAGTAGTAAGTTCACCAAGGAAATTCGTTTGAAAGTATGGTGAGTGACTAGAAATATTGTACAACAGTATTAAGACCCTGAGATATTTAGGCTTTTGAAAAATGACATTTACTCCAATATTTTCACTCAACACAGGTTAATATTTTTCACTGTGGATGTGTCATAGCAGAAATACGTGACTATAGACAGTCTAGTAATATGAAGTCTCCTGGTTACCAAAGTAGACACATTCTCTTACGTCCAACAATGCAGGTAAGGAATGATAAATTACGAAGTGTTAGCTTTAGATTTTTATTTGGAGTTTTATTTATTAAATACTTTCATATGCTAATGTGCCTATACATTAATGTGTTTATTTTTTCTAGACTTTAATCTGTGATGTACATTCAATAACAAGTGATAACCATAAGTGGACCCAGGTTAGTTGTTTTGCTTTTTAATTCCAAAGAGTCAAAATACAGGTGTAACAATACTTTTATTCATGAGTAATGTTTTGTGGTTCATTTTTATGTTTTAGAAGTCAGTAGTCTCTTCATACATGCAGTATTTCCTCAGGTAATTTAAAGTTTATCTCAGATGCTTTAGGACCAGGATCTGATCTGCCCAGCACTTAACTTTTTCATCCTTTTTCAATTTGAAGAAAGATGTCTTATATGTACCATGGGTACAGATAGATAGCTGTTTTTTTTTTTTCTCTGTCAAGCAGAACTAGCTGTCTTTTTGCCATTCATACTTGTTGCAGCAGTAGAAGGACCTCTCTTAAACCTGAGAATAACTTAACCCTTCAGTGCTTGCTCATGTAAAGTCCCCATTCGCAAGACTGTTCAGATATTTCTCTGTTGCTATAGAAAGGGAGGGGTGGTAACTAAAAGAAAGAAAACATCATTGTGAAAATACTCCATTGTGAAAAATTATAAAGTAATAGTTCAACAGTAACCGTTAAGTGTTGTATTTTAGTTTGGGCTGTGTAAGCTTTTCCTCTACAGAAGTTAAAAGGTATTGAAAAAATGCTTAAAAACAATAAAATCATTGCTCATCATTAGAGAGAAACTATATTAATTATTTTGCCTTTTCCTGTGTGAAATAGAAATGAAGAGGAAATTCTTTTCAAAAATTCCACCAAATAGATTGTAAAAGAAAGGATAGAATTTTGACAGCATCACTTTGGTTTACACTACTGTATATGATTTAGGGGAATAGAGTCATACCTTTTCAGATACATATTACTACACCTCATTCACCACCAAGATTCAACACAGACCATTGGAACCTGTCCCTCCTCTGTTCCCATCCCCACCCTCTCATAGTAGCCTCAATTTTATAGAGTATTGTGAACAAATCTTACTTTAATTTAAAAAAAATACAATAAAGTAGTCCCAGTGGAATTTTGAATGCCAAATGTTTCCATTGTCATATTTGTATATAATTTTATCCTATCTCACAAGGTAAGTTTTATCTGATTTATGATGTACCAGTAAAAATTAGATTATATTTGTTTTTCTTTGGTATTTAAAATAAAAAGTGATAATTATTCTGTTTAAGAGAATACTTGGAAAGTGTAGAGGTCGTTTATTCCCTCTGGTTTATTGAAGCTTAAGTTTTTATAATAAATGGCACTCATAAAAATTTTAAAGAACGTAAGTTGAAGCTTACATAATAAAAAATTCAAGTCAGCCAAAAAAGAAAATTACCAGTTTGAAAGACTTAATCAATTAATGAATCTGGACAGATGTAACTATAAATGTGAAAAGCTTTTAGGTAAATGTATGGGAATTTTTTAATGCAGAGATCTGACTAAACTGCTGGTCTGGAAGTGAGACAGAGGATCACTGTTTGCCTTCTGATGTGCTGCAAGAGAAAGCGCACGCCAGTACCAATGAAGAACTCTGGCTTTTTTTTTTTTTTTTTTTTTTTTTTTTTAAAGCGCCTGAGTAAATCAGGTCTCTAGCTCTAACATTTCATAGGGTTTTCAGGGAAGTAAAGAAACCATTAAGTGACACAGTGATTAAGCAACCAGCCAGACTCAATGAGAAGCAATTTAGCAAATCAGGCACATGGGAAAACCAAAAATAAAAAAAGCTGGGGGAAGAGGTGATAAGTACTGAATAGAAAAAGGTATGTAGGCTTTCTCTGAGTTCTTGAAACCAGCTTTTTAACAGAATGGGAAATTTAAATCTAGCCTAAATAATAGACTTCCTTATCAGTTAACAATACAATGTATATTCAGGTGAAATAGTAGAAAGTTGGAATTACTAGGGCCTCCCCGGTGGCGCAGCGGTTGAGCGCTGGGTTGCGAACCTGCCCGCAGCCTCCGTGGTGCCGGTTCGATCCCCGGCTGCTCCCAGCCACCAGAGGAGGGTCCCACATGGCGCGCAGACCTCTCCTGCGGCCCGCTGCTCCCTCAGCAGTGTACTTCGGTCCTTCTGCCTGCTCTGTTCCTCGCTCTGGCTCTGGTGAATTCTCTCACCCTCCGCGCTTCTGACTGTACCCAGTGCATGTATAAACAAAACAAACAAACAAACAAATAAATAAATAAACATGCCCTTAAAATAAATTAAAAAAAAAAAAAAAGAAAGTTGGAATTACTTCAGGAAAACAAACCTCCAGAGAAATTAGAAGGATGGTTAATAAAATTGTTCATACATAGCTGTCGTCACACATGTTTTTCGTGTATGATTGAAAATTGCTATAATAAAAGTTGAATGGAACTATTAAAAGCAATGCCTCAATTTTGGTAAAAATTCTTAACTCATTTTAACTTTAAAAAAATTAGTTATAACAATATTTCAGAGTTTAAGCTAAAAATAATAGGATTCAATGAAGTAAGTTACATGATATTAGCAAATAGTCTGTACATTTTAGAATTGGATAATTGGATTCATACAGTTACTAGTGTGGTCACATTTATATTTAACAAAGTTGAGTATAAAATAGGATCATTACATGTCAGTTACTCAAAAGTACTGTGATCCATCATGATCCTGTAAGCTTTGTAGAAGTAGACAGTTTTTTCTGTTTTGCTTTCTGCTTTACTTTCAACCATAGAACAGTACCCAGCACATGTAGGTATTCAATAACTAATTGCTGAATCAGTAGTCACTCATAATTTGACCATTTTGTACTCTATTGTTGAACTGCCAGTATGCTGTCAGGTTTCTAAAGTTGATACACATAGATTAGAACTTAAAATACTGTGTTTTATTGTAGTAGACTTCCATGGAATAGTTCTACATTAAACAATATGTATAATTTAAAAATCTTTAATTTGGTATTGGCGTATTCTTTACATGTTTCAGGAAGACAAACTTTTGCTTGAGAGCCAACTGATCCTAGCTACAGCAGAACCATTGTGTCTTGATCCTTCTATAGCAGTAACTTGCACTGCAAACAGACTGCTGTATAACAAGCAAAAGATGAACACACGCCCAATGAAAAGGTATTGTATCTGCCTGATGTGTGAATGAAAAATGCTGCTAGAGAAGTAGGTTTCAATTTTGCTATTTTTGTTATCTTTTTCCTCCAAATTACATAAGTGCTATGATTTTTTTTTTTTGTATTTGCTTTGTATTTTTTTGGTCTCTTGTGATTTTCTTAATATTCTTTGCTTTGTATTAAATGTGATATATTCTCTTCTTTTATTTAAAGAACAAACTTCCTTTAAGTTTAGATTCTAGTTACCAAAAAGATAAGAGGCAAACGTAAGCAGAATAATTTACTACTTTCTAGACCCAGTAACTAGTTTTAGGTTTCATTAATAGTACTCGTAAGGAAATGATTCATAATTTTTTTTAATGTGGGAAAATTTTTTAGAAGTTATCTTAAAATTTTTGTAACTCAGTAATTTATGTTTTAGCTGTCTCTACTATTTAGTAAAATTAATACATACTAATTTTCAATTATAGTTGGCTAATTACTTGTAACATAATTTAGTTGTACACTTTGGATCTTCAAGTTTGAAGGGGCTCAAAAAACCTATTCATTTTCTAAGTCCATCATTTATTATGTAAATAATACATGTTGAGGAAAGATACTGTTTAGGAAATAGTGGAATAAGTTCACCTAAGATCTGTCCTGCAATGTTAACAGTTTTATAATTTCTCCTTGTGTCTTGGTCCACATCTTTCCATGCCTACTACCAATACCTTAGTCCAGCTATCATCATCTTCACCTTGACTCCTGTAAATCTCTTACCTAACGAGTCACCATAGTGCTAGCTCTGTTCCCTTTTGGCCCATTTGCCACATAAACAAAGTAATCTCTTAAAAACATCAAAGCAAATGATACCACCACTAGATTAAATTCCCCTAAAAATCCCATTGCAGCTTCACATTAAATCATTATTGAATTACAGGAGTCCTTACTCTGACCTCATCTCCTACTCTGTAGACACTGGTGCTCTGGTTACATCTACCTTTTTTTTTTTGTTTTTAAAACAAAGTGTGTTCCTGTCTCAGCACCTTTTTAAGTTTCTTTTCTCTGCTTCAAATACTTATTCTATGATCTTTCCATAACTGATTCCTTCTTGTCATTCGTATCCCAGTTCATGCATTATTTCTTCAGAAAGAAGAAATTTCTTTCTGCAAAATTTCTTCTCTCATACCTATTTCTTCTCTCATACATGTCACTTATTAATACATAGCTTATTGCTGTCCAAGGGACCTTACCTGTTTACCTGTGAGTATCTATCTTCCCTCTGGACTGTCAGATGCTTGGTGGTAATTTTTTGTGGTGTTGATTTTTATTTTATCAGTGCTTAGAACACTGCTTAGCAAGTGATTGTTTTATAAATATATAACTTAATTACCTTTTTAATGCTTACTAATATAAACCTATATGCTGCATTTCTTTCATTAGCTTTTAGTTCAATTTCTTTAATATTTCAGATGTTTCAAGAGGTATTCCAGGTCCACTATGAATCGGCAGCAGGATCTGTCTCATTGTCCACCTCCTCCTCAACTAAAATTACTTGATTTCTTGCAAAAGAGAAAGGAAAGAAAAGCAGGTCAGCATTATGACCTCAAAATTTCTAAGGCAGGGAATGTAAGTATATATTTTAAAATGAAACTTAATCTGAATAAAGCCTTTACTTGTTTTGAATTTTCATTATATTTATACTGTTTAATTTTTCAGTGTGTGGATATGTGGAAACGGAGTCCCTGTAATTTGGCCATACCTTCTGAAGTGGATGTAAGTCAGTTCATGATTTGCACTTATTTTCATAAAGAATTAGTAAGGTTAAGAACAATGGTTTTTCCTTTCAATCAAAGCTCATTTTCTTTCACATGAGCATGTATAAGGCTGTAAACCCTTAATATGTATCTGTTACAACAGGATCAAAACCCAAAGAATTTTGAGATATGGAAAAATATAGTGCATGTTACATAATACACATTAAATACTTCTGGGTTTTTTCCTAATATTTTATTATGATTTTTTTAATAATGCTTTTTTTCTCAGACTGGTTTAGGTTAAAAAGAATACTAGAGCAGTGACCAAGATTAGGAACCTTGGGTGGTTTTCTTTGTTGGTCCATAATTCACAGAACCTATGAATGGTCAAAAACAGTAAAGAGATCTTATGATGAGCGGTCCCATGTTCTTTTTTCCCATTTCGCCTGCATTTTTATTCACTCCATTCTTTGCAGCTGATTAACTATTTTAACAGGTGTTCATCTTTCCTAAGCTAGCTCATACCATTTTTATTATATGTGATTTTAAAATCATTGTGGAAAGCACAAAGCCAAAAGGATCAGAAGCAGAATATATATGTGTATAGTTTTTATACACACACACACACACACAAGTTAAGGAAGTAAGCCATGAGATCTATTGTGCTCTTCAAGGATGAGGAGCAGGGCTTAAGAAGAAATGTTTAATGTAAATACCAAAGGGTAGAATTTAGCTCTGTTAGGGTGAAATATAAAGCAGTGCTTTTAAGCTATACGTACAAATTACCTGAGTTGCTTATTATCTTGCAGCTCTCCCATCAGCAAGTCAGGGTTTTTCTCTTTGGTCATAATACTGATTCCATTATATCTGATGTCTTCATTTGATTACTTAGGTAGAGAAATATGCTAAAGTAGAGAAGTGTATCAAATCTGATGACTCACAGCCAACAGTCTGGCCAGCCCATGTAAGTAGCCATTACAGTCTCTATTTCTAATGGTGCTGTTACTAAGGGGATCTGAATTTATTAAACGTAAAGTATAGTTGTCTTTAGTTTGGGATGATCTTTCTTTAAAGGACTTGCTGGGGGTTTAGTGAATTAAAAGAAGAAACAACTAGTTCCTTTCATTAAAAGTATAGTATCCATAATTTTGGTTGAATCTTGGTACTGTTTTTATTTTCTGTTTTCAAATTAGTAGTTATTCCTAGAGATGTATTCTGTGTAAGTTTCCTTACTTGTAGTAATAACTTACCTGGGGATGCAAACATAATACATTAAATTGGGTGACAATATGAGTGAAATATTTTATATGTACCTTGGCAGAAAGTCTAATGACAATAAAATTGTTTACCTTCAAAAGTTTTATCCTTTATTTGCATTTTTATGTCCAGTATGTGAAATTCTGCCATCTTCAACTGAAACTTGGTTAACTAAATGTCCCATTGAACCTCTCATTTCCAAAGAGCCATGTAAAAAGAAATCACAGGTTTTAGTCTTCTGAGCAGGGTTAAAAGGATCTATAGACTAAGATCCTATGTCTTCTATTACTGGATATAATTTAAGAGTATTATCCCCGGTTTTCTTAGTTTTGATCATGTGTTTACCGGAGAACGGGTTCATTTGGGATTTCTTTTTCAGGATGTAAAAGATGATTATGTATTTGAATGTGAAGCTGGTAATCAGTATCAGAAAACGAAGCTAACTATTTTGCAGTCACTTGGTGATCCACTTTACTATGGTAAAATACAGCCATGTAAAGAAGATGAAGAAAGTGACAGCCAGTTGTCTCCAGCCCAGTGAGTTCTCTCAAATATATGTAGTTGACCAAGTCAGGCATTAGAATTTACTCAACAGCTACTAATAGATCATAAATGTAAAAAAATCCCCTATGGGGATTCACTTGTTTGTTAAGTGCTCCAGTTAGATTTGGATGTGGACCTAAATAAACTTAAATTTTGGTTACTTTATTGAGTTACTTAAAATAATTTCTATGATAATTTTTATACTTGCTTGAGAAGATATGCCTGTGATATCCTTCCTGGTATATTTATTTGCTGCTGAGTAATGACTCTACCGTCTCTGTGAGCCTGAAGTTTCCAGGCAGTAGTTTGTTTAAATAGCAAATTTGTTATAAATGTAAAAGCCATTAAACATGCTAGGTATTTCAGTACTGTATAGACTCCTAAATGTAGTTAGTGCCTCCTGAAATATACCTATATATAGTTGATTTTCCAAACCTAGGGACTACATGTATTTAGTATATGGAACCACATTTAGTCTTGTTTTTTATTATTATTTTGTTTCCAATCAAGTTAATGCTGTTTTGAAAAGAAAATAAAGAACTCAAAAGAAAAGAGCAGGAGCCAGGTCTATGTTAAATCATTTATAAAAACCTCTTGTTAGAGAAAATGCTAACTAAAATTTATAATAGAAAAAATGAGTTTTAAAGAATAAGTTCCCAATACCTAAGTAAAAGTCAGTGAGAGGAAGTAGTACAGTGAGGATCATCAACTTAATTTTTTCCACATTAGCAGTTTCTCATGTTACATACCAAACAAAGATTTGGAATACCTGTATTTTAAAATCTTCTAGGGCCTCCCCGGTGGTGCAGCAGTTGAGTGCTGGGTTGTGAAGCTTCCCGCAGCTTCTGCCACGCCTGTTCGGTCCCCGGCCGCAGAGCGAGGGTCCCACATGGCGCGCAGGTCTCTCCTGCTGCCCGCTGCTCCCCTCAGCAGTGTACTTCGGTCCTTCTGCCTGTTCTGCTCCCCACTCTAGCTCTGGTGAATTTTCTCACCTTCCTGCACTTCTGACTGTACCCAGTGCTTGTATAAATAAATAAATAAAATCTCCTTGAAGACATACATTGGTTATTCATTTTAAATAAGTTTGTGAAAGTATCTCAAAACACAAGAGAATCTCATTGTGTCATTGTAAAAAAAGATAATTGATTCAAAAAGCCAGGTGATTAGATTTGTTTAACAAGAGAACTGAATTTTTTGTCTTTACATCAGGGAGTTGTGGCAGAAATGCTACATATCTAGTACCTTTCATTGATTCTTTCATGTACATCAATAAATCAGGTTACTTGATTGAATAACTGAAGTTCATTTTGAGCTGCATTAACCAAATTTTTTCTTCTTTACATTTTATATTTCAGCTCTTCCACAGATGATCATTCAAATTGGTAATTAAATAATAAACTCATTATTTCACTTAATAAATCGTACATGTCACACTTTAGAAAGATTGATGAAAATATTTTATTTGAATTGGTAATAAACTGTTTGCCTTGTCTAAAATATATTCTGAGATACTACTATGTGGACAATAATGACTCCAAATTCAAAGGTTAAAAAGAAAGAAAGGCCAAAGGCCTTGCACACAGTAGTTTATTAAATTTTGCGAAAGATATATATTTGGAAGGGTGTATAACACTTGGTAATTTTTGGCCCAGATTTTGTTTTGATAGATGTTTTGTGCCAGAGTAAATCTCCCTTAAATTGATCAAGTTAGTCACAGAATTAATTTATAATGCATGTAAAAGTTGGTCACTGCTTGATAAGTTTATTTTTTTTTAATTTATCTTGTTTGGTTTTAATTTATAGAAGTATTGTCACTAAAATATGGAAGACATCAAAAGTAATCCCAATGCTCCTTAAGATAATTCTTATCTGATACTTTATTTTATAATTATTTTAGGTTCATTATTGGATCAAAGACTGATGCTGAGAGGTAAGAATACTTGCACCTTCAGGTTTAATTTGCATAGCTATGAAAAACTCACTCCTACAAGATGGCAATTACTCCATTAGTACAACTTTGGTTGTAGCGTGCCTTCGGTATTCGCATTTTTTATACAATTACGAAAATAACAAAAGAGAAATACTTAAAATATAATTTTGTTTTAAGTAAGAAAACTTAGATATAGCTAAAGATGGTGATTTCTTGATCACTGCTTTAATTAGAAAGGATGTAGAAATCAAAGGATAATTACTTTGGGTGTGCTTATTGTTTGACAATCCCTGTCATTTCTATATCAGAAACAAGATACTAAAGCATATCTTTTAGTTGTTAAGAGAAATGTTTTGAGCATTAACTTGCCATTGGAAGGATTATAAAACTGTACTTTTAGCACACAAATGAATTGTCTAATTTTAATTTTTGTGGTAACTTTTGATATGGAACTTTTTTCATTGTTTTGTATATAGTAAGTTCATATTTAACTAATATTAACCTATCTCCCCTAATATTTCAGAGTAGTCAATCAATACCAGGAATTGGTCCAGAATGAGGCGAAATGTCCGGTCAAAATGTCACACAGTTCCAGTGGTTCAGCCAGCCTGAGTCAGCTTTCTCCAGGGAAAGAAACAGAAGTGTGTTTGGTTGCTAATTTTGTTCCTAATTTTTGTGTTATTACTTTTTTGTGCCCAGTTTTTCCTTAAGAAATGTGAGGAATATTATGGACTATTATTTGAGAGTCCGTAGTATTGTTTAGTTTTGCTTTTATTTTGTGTATGTGTTTAATATACTTAATGTTTTATAATGTTAATTTTCAAATAAACATAGAACTTTTTTTATATTGAACATTCATGAATACTAATCACCTGACTTCGTTATTATTTTCCTGGAAATATTTAAAGCCTCTGCCTGTCTCCTTCAAACTTTTTCTACCTTATTACTCAAATTTCTCCTTCATTATTTATATATTCTGTAATTTATTTTATGGATCTCATGTGAAATTATGTTATTAACATCTGTCTTCACTAATAATTTTTGCAGTTTTAAATTGTGTACTTTCTTCTGAGCGTTGCAGCATTATTAACTTAGGAATTTCTGATCTGACTTTAATTTTAACAAGTATACTTAATGTCACTGTCTCTTAGCAGCCTGAGACTGTTTCAGTTCAGTCTTCAGTATTGGGGAAGGGAGTAAAACATCGACCTCCACCCATCAAACTTCCCTCAAGCTCAGGAAATAGTACTACAGGTATTACATCTCTTGATTTTCTGTAATTTAATGTAAAAGGTACACAATTATAATGTTTTTAAAACATTACTCATTATTTAGATTTACACAATTCATAAAATTTTAAATTGCAAATTTAAGAGATGACTTTTATATCCTTCTAGGTAACTATTTTACACCGCAGCAGGCCAGCAGCTTTCTTAAATCCCCAACTCCTCCTCCTGCTTCTAAGCCACCAAGCCTTTCTCGGAAGTCATCTGTAGATCTCAATCAAGTTAGCATGCTTTCTCCGGCTGCCCTGTCACCTGCCAGCTCATCACAAAGTGAGTCATAACTTACATTCTTCATTAACTCTTCATAAGCTTTTGCATTAGTGTTTCTTAAGACAGCTTTTTTTTGACCGATGGAATAGTGAAAGCTGAATGTACTGTGTACCCAAAATGCATAAATTTTGGAGAAGCTTCAGGCAAATCTCTTGTTGATTGTATGTATTATGTGTTTATTGTAATTGTATTTGTTTTTCTGTATCTATGTATGCACTTTGTGTATACCTTTCTTAAAGACTTACAACCTACACATCTCCTAAAAGATTAATCTAGTAGTTAAATATGGCATTATGATTCCAGAATATCTTTTTTAACCAGGGTACCTACCCTAGGATCATTGTACATCTTATGTAAACTATATGGAGATAATATGAAAAAATGTCCTAAGAGTTGTTGCTGCAGTCATCTGTCTATATGAGAAGCCAACTAGTTCCAAGGTGGTAGTACAATAAACTGAAAACCTATTTTTCAAAAACACTCTACACTCTTTTAAATTATTGTCAGTTTACTAAAAATGTGGTAAAGATCATAAGCATTATCTGAAGATATTAAAATGTAATTTTTACTATTGAATACTTTTTTTAACATCAAGAAAAGTTATACAAAAAATCTAGCAAGATTGGGAAAATTTCTTTAAATTAGTAACTATCTGAGGTATGTAGTTGCCAATTTGCAAAAATGCATTCCAGTTTTTTAGATTTTTTTTTATAGATAACGTGTGCTGCAAGTTTTAGTACACTGCACAGTGATAGGGTGGTCTTCGCATTAGCTATAAACATCTTCATCTTGATAGCTCAAAAGGTGTAATTTTTCTGCCTTCTTGTTTTGCACAAAGAAAATTTATAAATTTCCTTGAAAGTCTTATTCACACTTCTTATGTTGTGGGTCTGGATTATGTTAATCTACTGCACACAGTTGTTACTTTAAGTAAGGGTTGAGTGACAGCTTCTGGACATTCACATTTCTTTCCTTTCTTTCTGCAGGACATGAAAGCTAAAAAAGAAAACACCTCAAGAGCTTTTGGTTTTATTTTTTTGGTTTTCGTTTTTTTGTTTTTGTTTTTTTAAAAAGTTGATAAACTGTGCATACTTCATTCACAACAGATTTTCTATACATTCTACATTTAAACAGAAGTACACAGTTACTGTTAAAGATGCAGTATTATCTATCAAATATTTGCTTTATTACTGTGTTTTGTAAATTTGTTTGTCAGGATAAACTTGATGTGTTAGGAATTAAACATGTATATTTAGGTGCCAAATATGATTGTTAACCACATGTAATTTATTAAATATGTTCAGAGTTTTATCTAAGGCTGTTACAGAAAATAAGCAATATTTTTAAATGAAGTCCTAAATTAGTGAAATAGTAAATAACAAAAATTAATTTTAATTCCTTTTAAACTGTTTAGGCCAAAGGTAGCATGTAGAAAACTAACTTTTAAATGGGTATTGTGGTAGAATACAAATGTCTATTTTTACTGTTAATGCAATAGCATCTTTGATGGGATTCTTAGGTGATATACTGCATCCTTAATTGTAATTGAGTGTAGCAACACTCATGTATCGCGTAGAAATTAACACTTGCAGTTAACTGCTTTTAAAAAGAAACTGGAACAAATTGTCAGTGCTAAGTAAGATTCCATTAACCTTATTTTAAAAAGGACTGGCCATTTATAACAAACTAGCAATTTTTATTTTTCTCAATGAGCAGGATCTGGAACTCCTAAGCCATCTACTCCTACACCAACCCCTTCATCGACCCCACACCCTCCTGATGCTCAGAGCTCAACTCCTATTACCCCTTCAGCCACCCCTACTCCCCAAGATTCAGGCTTCACCCCTCAGCCCACTTTGTTAACTCAGTTTGCTCAGCAGCAAAGGTCTCTGAGCCAGGCAATGCCTGTAACGACCATTCCTCTTTCCACCATGGTAACATCTATAACTACAGGAACCACAGCCACCCAGGTCATGGCAAACTCTGCTGGACTTAACTTCATCAATGTAGTGGGCTCTGTTTGGTAAGTTTTGATTATCAATGATATAATTCTTTTTTTTTTTAAGATACTTTTGCCTTTCGGACTGAAGTCTGTTTGTGAAATTAAGAACAAGATGTGTAATACAGAAACTGAAAATAGGTGTGAATAGAAGTTATCTTAAGTATGTGTTCATTTTAGGTAATGCATCTATGAAGTGCACTAAAATGATACTACTACACATTGACAGCAGCTTAGATTTTCTTGTTCATTCTTCTTTGTTACCATGTTTCAATCCTTTGATTAATGCTTTACTCTTCCAGGTTATATTTTGAACTTTAATATACAGCACTTAATTTTTTAGCCAAATTATCACTTCATAGCATTAAAATGAAATTGAATATCAAAATTGAAATTCATGACAGAAGTAATACCTAATATTGTGGGTTTAGTAGTTTGTTTTTTAATCCCAGGAAATACTGTATGTCTGATTGTTTCTTTTATACTGCAAGTTTAATTCCTTGTCTTATTCTCCTGCAGTGGAGCTCAGGCTCTGATGAGTGGTTCAAACCCTATGCTGGGCTGTAACACTGGTGCCATAACTCCTGCAGGAATAAATCTGAGTGGCCTTCTACCCTCAGGAGGTCTGCTACCAAATGCATTGCCTGGTGCAATGCAGGCAGCTTCCCAAGCAGGTCAGAATATTGGAAATAACCTGTTTAAGAAAAAGTAAATGCTAATGTGAAAGTGTGATTTTAATGGTGTTATTGTTATTGAAGACATTTAACATTGTTTTATAAAGTCTGGTAATCATTTCAATAGCTTTTAAGTTTGGATTTTTTTTGAGATTAATTTTCATTTATGCATGCAGAAACTCGGGTGTAGGACAGAGGTGCGGGGTGGGGGCAGGGTTGAGAGGATTCAACTGAGAGGGGAGCAAGCAGGTCTCTTGAAATATACTGCTGATGGGATCAGTGGGCAAAACATGAGAGTTCTGCTACCTGTGCCATGTGGGTTAGCTCCCTGAGCAGGGATCGAACTTGTGCTGCAGTGGCTGGAGATAGCTTCATAGCACTGACTTTAACCACTGCGCCCCCAGGGAAGCCCAAAGTTTGGATTTTAAAATAAAAAATTACCTACCGATCAAATGTAAAGAAACTTGATAAATCTCTGAGTCTTAAAATTTTATCTTTGCCTTCCAAATATTATAAAATTAACTCTGCTAGTTTTATTCTCCACAGTGCAGTCCTGTATCAGGTAAAGGGAATGTATTTTGAAAGCATACTCTCTGCAGGAAAGATGACATAGCATGGTAGTTAAAAGCCAAGGTTATGGAGTCAGTCTTGCGTTTGAATCCCACTTTATACGGTTTAACTGTGTATTCATGGGAAAATTACCTTTGTGCCTCACTTTCCTCATAAGTAAAATGGGGATAGTAGTAATAACTTCTCTCAGAGCTATGACGATTAAATGAGTAATACAGTGAAGTGCTTCAACCTTGCCTGAGGCAGAAGTATCTAAAAATACTTGCTGTCAGTAGTAGCAGTAGGAGTAGTAGTAACTATTTTTCAGTATATGTAATAAAAATTATTAATATAATTTCTTGGAACAGTTAACTTAGTACTGAGGAGAAGTAGTAAGACAAGCTTGACATAGTGAGAATAAAAGATTTATCAAAACTGTTCTTTAATTACAAGAATCCAAAAAACGTAATTTATCCATACTAACATTTTGCTCAGATTTCCTGATTCTAGCTGATACTTTCTTATTATGCATAAATATGCTCTTAGTGGCAGAACCCTGGAAATGAAGTCAGGTTGAGAATTTAGGATGTGTGTATTTATATGTAACTACCATGTACCTGCAATTGCTGACTGAAGCCTTAAAGACGTCACTTAGTTTTTCTCTAATAGTCTCAGTTTCATGTGATTTAAAATGGGAGTGAAAATAGCTATTTTCAGTGAAAATAACTATTCTCAGTACTTGTGAGAAATAAATGAAGAGATATAAAAGTGCATTTGGTCAGCTGTAAGCTTTAGATATCATCTACCTTTAAAGGGAGTTATTACACAAAAAAGTACTTTCTGAAGGAGACATCAATACTGTAATATTTTTGTCTTTTAATTGCCTTTTTTTCCTTATACTGCTTAGAAGCTTAGATTTACTTCTAATTTTTACATCTAGTTACTGAGCAAACTATACAAACTCTGAGACTAAGATTGGGCAATCATAACTTACAATCAAAGCTGAGAATGCTATTTCATTGTTTGGTTGTTTTTTTCCCTAAAGAAAGAAAAACAAGAAGAGGATATACAATTTGACAGAGGCTATATATGGCCCATAAAACTAATGGAAAAATTATACAGCCCTGGCTTTAAGATGTATTCTATATTGCATCACAGATTTTTGGGAATGAGTTTAGAATTAATAGCATTATTTACTAATGTTCAGTTTTAATCCTTACAGAATTCATCATTGTTTAGCATTATTAATAGCATTTATACTAAAAAACAATAGCAATTATTTGCATTAACATAATATTCTTTAACACTGAGAGTATATATAGATGCCAGTACCTGAAATGTATTCTCTCTTACAACAGTGATAAATTTATTATATTCATAGCACCTTGAATATCTCCAGGTTATACTTTCTTAAGCCAACAATCAAAATAGAGATAAAAGTGCTCAGTTTCTGAAATACAGACTATTATGTACATCTGTTATCATTTTTGAATAAGATCTGAGTATTAATATATATTGATGTGAAAATTTATTTTAAAATAAAAGTATAGAAAATGAGCACAAAATCTACAGAAGAAAGTATTTAAGTATTGTATTTACATCTACTAAAGGATAAAATATTTTCAAGTGTAATAAAATTTCAATTTCTTATTATAACCATGAGTTTTATTTAACAGGTGTTCCATTTGGCTTAAAAAATACGTCAAGTCTCAGGCCCTTGAATCTACTGCAGGTAAACCTGAAACACTGCTTTTGACTCAAGATTTTGTACTTTGATTTTAAAAAACAGTATCACTTGTGCTTGTGAGCATTTGAAATTTTAAGATTTGTTCAGAAACTTTAAGGAGGTGGTTTTGATTGCTACTTGTGCATGGTCAAATTAATATGGAAAAAAAATCAGTATCCTAGATCCTAACTCTTGTTAACCTTAGCACCCCTGCATAATCAAGAACCGAGCTGTTCCAATGCGGGAAATTGACAACTGTTAACATAGAAGCAGTTGGTTACACTTAGAAAATTATTCCTCACTCAACAGACATTTTATGTATAACATTTGTTTACAAGAAGTTTTCTGCTTTTAAATAGATTTTTAAAATAGTATGTTTTCTTGAGAATATTTCTTAACCCAGTGTCAGGCACCTGATAATCATTTGATAAAAGTTTATTAGAGATTACATTACATAACTAATAATGATGTTTTTCTTATGCATGTTATCAGTGTCAACAGGGAGAGTGAAGGTGGAGAATTTAGTACTCATTTTATAAATACACTGAGTGTTTTGCTATATCCTTTAAGAATGGAAGTCCAGTATTTAAGCATTTGGAAAGTGGAAGGGATTGTTGGCACAAAACTTAAGGAAATGCATTTAATACTGTTACGTGTTGATACATAAGAAGAATTAAAGTGTGTATATGAATAGCTAACTATTAAAGTAGATTAATGTTTGAGAGTATTGACATATTTGGGAGACCATAGTAATAATACTTAAAAATTGGGTTTAACCAGATCATGTTTTTAAAGGCAGGTGTTTTAGTTTGATTTTTGTTTACCTGTTACTTCACTTCATAGAAAACTGTCACATAGTTCACAACTCCATATTCGTGGAATAAAGAAATTAATTGAAGTTGACTAATTTTTGCTTACATTCTTAATAGCTTCCAGGTGGTTCTCTCATTTTTAACACTCTACAGCAGCAGCAACAACAGCAACTCTCACAGTTTACACCACAACAAGCTCAGCAACCAACAACTTCTAGTCCTCAGCAGCCAGGGGAACAGGTTTGTGCTTTCTCACTTTCCATAGGCTTTGTATTACAGAACTGTGCATGTCTTTGTATATTTCAAATATAGTTCATTTAATCTGTTCAAACATTTCCACTGCTTTTTTAAGTAACAGTAATATGAGTTACACTGTTCCTGTTTCTAATTTTTACAACAGCCCTACTAAATAATGTCATTTCCATCTAAGTACAAAATCAGTCAACATAAAAAATTGGTCACAGCCATAGTGTATCAAATCCAAACCCAGTTCTTTCTTCCTCTATAGACTGTAGTTCTCAAGTCATTTTGTGTACGTATATTGCCTATTAGGATGTCCTTATTGTGGATCTTAGGGCAGAGAGATTATAGACAAAAACAAATACATGTTGCCACACAGAATGAAATTGAATAAGAACTGCAATAAATTAAAGGAAGAACTGCAAGTATTTCTGAATTAATGCTCCATTTTGGAGTTATCTGAGAAACTAAAAGATAACTGAGTGCCATGTCTTCCCCTCAGAGCTCCTCTTAGCTCACAATTAAATGTATGTAATGTTCATTATCTGTCTTGCCATAATTACCCAAATAGTCATTTAAGTTAATCCTCCAGTATCTCTCAGGAAGGGCACATTCAAAACTTTTTAATTCTTGGCCCTCCCTTGTGGTGCAAAGGTTGAGTCTCAGCACTGTCAAGCTATTGCCAGCCACTGCAGAATGAGTTTGATCCCTAGCCAGGAAGCTCACCCCACATGACACAGCAGACCTCTCCTGTCTTGCTCGCTGCTCCCCTCAGCAGTGTATTTCAGTAGATCTGTCTGTTCTGCTCCACACTTTGTCACTGGTGAATCCTCCTACACCCTGCACCTCTGGCCTACACCCCAGCCTCTTGTATGTATAAATAAAAAATACATTAAAAAATAAAACTTATTAATTTTTAACGTATGAATTATTAGCTAAATACAAAATTCTTGCTTTAGATATATTTTTTTGTAAAATACATGTAACATAGAATTTGCCATATTAACCATTTTTATGTTTAAGTATATTCCTAATTGTTGTGCAATCAGTTTCCAAATCTTTTTCATCTTATCACTAAAACTGTACCCATTAAGCAACAGCTCCCTTCTATTTGTGTTCCAGAGATTCTGACTACTCTAGGTACAGTATTTAAGTGAACTCAAAAGTACGGCTTTCGTACTTAATGTTCTCATAGTTCATTCATGTTGTAGATGTGGCAATCTTTCCTTCCTTTTTCTTAGCTAGCAGTAATCACATATCAAATAATCCTCGTTGGCTATGATACTGCTACTGTGCAAAGCTTCCTTTTTTTAAGACTTAATAATGTTCCAGTTTATGTACATACCACATTTTCTTTATCCATTCATTTCCTAGTGGACATTTGGGTTGCTTCCATCTGTAGACTGTTAATGCGGCTGTGAACATGGGTGTACAGTTAGCTTTTCAAGGCCTTGTTTAGAAATATTTGTATATGTACAGCAATAGTATTATTGGTGGAGCATAATTAATTTTAATTTAGGAACCTACATGCTATTTTCCATATGGCTGTACCATTTCATCTCCACAAGTAGTACACAAGTTGTAAATTTTCCCTATCCTAGCTAAAACTATTTACTCTGTTGTTTTGAGAGCAGCCATATAATAAATAATTGTGTTTTGATTTGCATTTCACTGTTTATTTGATGATGCTGAACACCTTCATATGCTTGTAGCAGTGTGTGTATCTTAGGAGAAATTTCCCTGGATTCTTTGTCCATATAAATTGAGTTATTTTGTTAATTGAGTTCTAGGTGTTCTTTTTATATTCTGGATATTAATGTCTTATGACACATTTCATTGCACATTTTTCCTACTCATGGATTGCCTTTTCAGTGTATTTTGATGTTCAGAAGGTTTTAATTTTTATGTAGTCCATGTTGTTTTTACTTATATAATGTGTTTTGAGTGTCATATTGAAGAAATCTTTGTCCAATTCAACATTACTAAGCTTTTATGTGTTCTTGAGTGAGAGAATTCAGGGTCTCATTAAATTTATTAGACAATGCTTCCCACTGTGTACTTGCTTTTGTATATCTTTGATGTCTAACATTTTCATTAGGTATGTGGCACAATTAATTTTTTTCATATTGGCCATTTTAATGTGTAGATTTGGGTCTTTTTTCCTGGAACATTTTCTTGCAGATTATAGTTTTAATTTGTTCACCTTTTTCTAATTTCTTCAAATGGAAACTTGGTTGAGTTGAGGCCTTCTTTTCTAAAACATTTAATGTTATAAATGTACTTGTTACTGCTTGAGCTGCTTTATGCAACTCAGTGTTTTGCTTTCATTTTCATGTACTGGAAAGTATTTTTCATTGTCCCTCATGAATTCCTCTTAAATCCATGGACTATCTAGATAACACAAATTGATCTCCAAATATTTTGAAACTTCCAGATGCCTTTCTGTAAATGATTTCTAATTTAATTCCATTGTGGTCTGAAAATATTTATTTCAAGTTCTATCAACTTCATTTATTTTATGGCAAGTCTTAATGAATAGTCCCAATTGTTTGTGGAAAAAAAACATTCCCTAGATTTAAGCCTAAATTGGTGGTGGTGGTTTTCTTAAGCAATTATGAGCCTTAGGAATTACTACCATAGCACTAAAGAATAAACAAATGCAAAGTCAATTCGGAAAGACTGTTTTCTTTTAAAATACCATACCGTACATTTGTTCTTATTCTTATCTAATTTAACATTAATGTTTTTCTTTTGTATTTTTATTCAGGGTTCTGAACAGTGTTCAACCAGTCAAGAACAGGCCTTATCTGCTCAGCATGCTGCTGTTATTAACCTTGCTGGAGTCGGCGGTTTTATGCAGTCACAGGCAGCTGGTTAGTATCTTAATAATTTCATGTGTTGAGTTTACTATAAGTAGTTAAACTTCAATATGCTGAATTTACTAAAAGTAGTCTTTTGGGGATCTAAACATTTTTAATTACTATTTTTTTTCTCTTGCAAACATACATTAGGACAAAATAAAGTTGTATTTAATGTGTGAACTACCAAATTCATTAATTGATGTCCCTGAGATATTTAAGTTAATTAATTAAAAATGCTTTGATCTAGATTTATTAACAGCAGTTTTCCTGATACTAATTTGTTGGCAAAATTTTACACAATTTGCTAAGAAGCTACCAAAAGAGTTCTTCAGTTCTGGATTGAGACTGCATTTTTCTAATCTAATTTACATAATCTCTCATTCTTGTACTTGCATGAATTAAATCTTAGTGGTCAACAGCATAACTTTTGTAAGCCACTTCTGTCATTTGTAAAAAATGAGATTATACTAAATGACTACTCATCAGTTCCAGCACTAAATGGTGAACTGAAGATTTACCTTTAATTAAGATTATCCTGTCAGCTAAAGACAATTAATTAAACAACTTTTACATTAAACTGAACAAACAAGTTCATAAGAAAGCTGTGGTAGAGTTAGAAGAAATAATGAACACATTGGCAACGTTTTGAATTATCAATATGGGCTTACTGTAATGCCTTTAGTATCCTAATACAACTCCCAATGTCTAAATTTAGAAGTCCTTTGAAGATAGAATAAGCAAGTTCTTAATAAAAAGTTGTGATTTCGAACTAGTTAATTTCCAAATGAATATTTGATTACAAACTTTTCCCATACGTTATCAGTTTCCTCAAATAGCTATAGTGTAATTTAGTGGAAAGAGCACTTGCCTGTTCCTAACTTAAATATCTAAACCTGAAATTTCCTCAGCTGTAGAGTAAGATTTGATTGCTGTGGCCCCACTCAGCTTGAAAAGAATGCAGTCTCATTTCACCATCTTTGTTGTTGTTAGTGTAGTCTGATACTCATTACAGCATCTTTTCTTTAAAGCACTTGTCTACCAGTTTTGTCTTTAATGCAATTTGAACTTCTCTCACCACCCACTTTTCCTATTACATTGTTCATATTTTAACATAATGTACTGTATTTTACGTTGTATAAGAAAGTCTATCAACAAAATATTACTAGTATTAAATGTTACTGAGGTGCAAGGAGAGGGACACGCTGCTTTGGCACACATGTGTTCCCTTCCCTTTTGTGTCCAGGAAGTTCTATAATCAGTGGTACCCTCAACTAACAGAAGACTACTAAATTTATTCTGAAATGTCTGTGATTTGATACTTAAGATTAATCATACTGATAACTTTTCTATTTCATTTTCTGTGTTGTCCTTTTCTAACCCTGATAGCCTTCAAACTTTTTGACTGGCCTGCTTTCCCCTTCTCCTCTCTGTAGTGTTGTCTCAGCTTGGCTCTGCCGAGAACAGACCTGAGCAAAGCCTTCCTCAGCAGAGATTCCAGCTCTCCTCTGCCTTTCAACAGCAGCAGCAACAGATACAAGTAATCCAGCAACTTCACCCTGAGTACATTTTTAAAGATACTCTGCTCCAAAAGTACCTCAAAATACCTGTAGTTTTATTTCACTGTCTTTTAAGACTACACGTAATTGGTAAATAATTTAGAAGATTTTATTTAAAAGTCTGATATTTTAGCCAGTCAACTTGGAGCACTAACTATATTACATACATTTGAGCCATACTTTTCCCTAATTATCACTTTCATGAAGTGCTGGTGGCACATTAACATACATTTTTCTAGTTTCTAGTACATTTTCAAATAGACAGCTATGCCAATGGTTAGGTTTTTAATATACTGCAGAAAAAGGCAAGTATACCAGTGTTTCTATTAGTAAATTATTCCTGTTTTAGAAAAATGTCATTCCATTATTTTAGGAAGCCAGCATATTACAGTTGACTATTTTAATATGCAGGTGGTTTTATATTGCTATAAACTCATATAAAAAAATGGTAACTGAAGTTGCTGAGTTACTGTAATATAGACTGGCAGGGCAAAGTAACAGAAATACTTTTGAAGTTTACCAAGAATCATTTTAAAAGCCCTTAGCAGGCTTCTGTGCCACTGACTGGTGCTGTTTGGCTGTGCGTTGTCTCAGTGTGGTATAGTCCCTTTTTGTTATCTTGGTGCTTTCTAAACCCTTTCAGTTTTGTTCTCATCATTCTCAGGAAAAGTACCTTTCTGTACCTGCCTACACTTAACATAACTTGATTTTTTTCTCCTTTCCTTTTGCAACAGTTGCGATTCTTGCAGCATCAAATGGCTATGGCAGCAGCAGCAGCACAAACAGCTCAGCTACATCGTCATCGGCATACAGGCAGCCAGTCAAAAAGTAAAATGAAGAGAGGCACGCCAACCACTCCAAAATTCTGAGTCTTGCATTATTTTTTTTTTTTTAACATAAGAGCATTGAATCAGAAGGTTTCTGAGTTTCTACTTCGTTTCGTTTTTTTTTTTTTTTTTTAATGTCAGTATTTTACATTGCTAGATGTATAAACTTTATACAGAAGCACAACCCTATGATTTTTAAATAAAAACAGGGAAACGGTCTACCAGACTATTAGGGTTGGTTTGCCTAAGTCATTGCTTTATAAAAATGGTTTCACTGTACATAAAACATAGGGAAGTGACCTAAGAAATATTAGAAACATCTTTCAGAAGAATGTAGCTTAATATTTATTTAGTATAAAAGGTTTGTGCACAGTTCAACAAATACAATTTTTACAAATCTGTTTCAAAATGTGGTGTGTTTATTTGGGTTTCATACTCTTAATTACTTCATCCATCAGTTTTTTTACTTCTTTATGTCTTGTAACTGCTCGGCTCATACAGTCCTGAAGTTTAGCTCCAGTCAGCCCACTTCCACCTGAAAAATTGTGTGAACACTTTTAGTGTCTGGTTTTTTTTTTTTTGTTTGTTTGTTTTTTTCCATTTTGTAGATCAACATCAAGTCAAGTTGCAAAACAAAAAACTTCAATTTTGTAAACCAGTGGCATGGTCTCAAGATTTACTAAATTATAACAAAACCTGAACCTCCAAGTGATTCCAGTCTATTCCATAAATTTAAGAATCACTAGTGCACAATATAGTTGTACAATATAATAGTAATAGAGCTTTGGCTCTCCCTGATATAAAGAATCTCATTTTAAATTTTCATCTACATGTTTAGAACTGAAATGGGAGGAACTTGCCTGGTTTGTGAAGACAACATAACCTGCCTTCCTCATCCATTACTACTGTTAAGGTTCCAGTTGCCAGATGTTCCTCTTCTCCAGTAGGGTCAACTATGAGCAGGGTACTATTTAAAAAAAAAAAAAGTGTAAGTGATTTAATCATGGAATAATTTTATTTTAGGTTATCTACTGAAGCCAGTTAAGAGCTAGGATAGAACTGGTAGGAAGCCAGGAAAGTTAATAGCAACCTAAAATTTTACCCTGTAAGAATCTCTGCCCCCCAGTTTATTCATGTTACAGTCCATTGCAAATACTGAAGATAGCCTAAGTTAAAGTTTTTAAAAATTGAAAACATTACACAGGAATAAGCAAACCAAGGGACAGGTAGAGAAGACAGACAAATCGGAATGCTTTTGAAAGTGTAAAGGTTAGCTAATAATTCTGAAGGGACAACAGGTGGAAAGTCAGATGTCCATGGCAAACTAAGGTCACCTTAGGCGTTAGGCATTTCCTGAAAGTTAGATGAATAATCCATTATCTTAAATACACAATTTTAAAATAACTTACTCATCAAACACAGCAAAGGAAGTTGCAACCGGATGAGTTCTAATATTCAAATAACTTTTCTTCTTTAAATTAACTTCTGCTAGAGCAGTTTCTTCATTTATACTAACTTCAGGTAATTGTACTATAAAAAAAAAGCAAAGAAGTAGTCTAGTTAAAGTCACATGGTTTTCTATGCTTTGCTCATTCACTTCTCCCTCTAACCTTGTCCAAGTCATGCTTTTTTTAAAAAGTGTTAGTACAATTAAGATATAATGAATAGTTTTTCAAACATGACATTCTGACAGAACTTTAAAAAAAAAAGTTTAAGAGGGCCTCCCCTGGTGGCGCAGAGGTTGAGCACTGGGCTGTGAGGCTGCCCGTAGCCTCTGCAGCGCCAGTTCGTTCCCCGGCCGCCAGCGAGGGTCGCACAAAAAAAAAGTTTAAGAAATCACAAGGAGTATTAACAGATAATAGTATGCTTCCACTTTTTTCTTGGGTACATTAATCCTAACCTTACAAAGTTTTCCTATTTTTAGGAAAACTTGAGCATGGTGGTAGGGCCACAATTCAAATTTAAGTCCTTGATTTAACAACTACTGTCATACTGCTATGCTTGCTACCTATTCTAATGAGTTATATATCAACTCACTAATAAAAGGAAATTGCATGTCTTAAAAATATAAAAAAATCATCTACTCCTTACCAAGACATTACTATTAAAGGACACATCTATGGATGGGCCTTACAGTAAAAACAACTCTTCTACTTTTTTTTTTGTCAACATCACATAAAGTGAACAATTTTAGGGAATGCTTAAAAGATCTTCAATCACCTATGCTGTAGTTCCAGCTGTCCACCATATTAACACTAGGGAAGACTGGGCCCCAAATAGATGGGTATGGTTGAGGGAATGCTTTCTAAAAGGCAGTCTGAGAATGTAAGACTCATAAATACGGAAAAATCATGTTAGTATTCAAAACTCATTAACCTAGAAACACGCAAATGATATATAGCAAGGTCGCAATAAAACTTTTTCAAAGTTTGAGAAAGTTCACAAAAAGAACATCAAACTTGTAGGAATATTTCTTTTAATAAGGTTGCTTACCATTTTTTAAAGCTGCTAACAAAGCAAATGTACAGGCATCCAAAATGTTTCCATCATAGTCAAGGCAAATGAGATCACAGTACAGAACCCAAGCAAGCTAAAATAAGAGTCATACAAAAATTAAAGCCTTCCGGTGGGTATAATATGGCACTTAACACAGCCACAGAAACATTGGTTAGACAAGATAACCTTTTTAAAGCTCACATCCTTAAAGAAAAAGCTTTATAAAATAGAAGTCAAAAAAAAAAAAAAAACAGGACACGTTTGGTAAAAGCTGGCCTCTTGATTACCCAGCAGACGTGGCAAATATCTCCATTTCTGGTCTGTAATCAGCCTAGGTCTGATTTTGAAATTTACTGTGTAGACTGACCTTAAACTCATGAACTGATCAGAAATTAATAATCTACTATAAGGAATAAACTGAATTCTCTAAAAATTAAGGAGAAAAAATTTACCTCAACTTAGAGGGTAGCTCTCCCTTTAAAGTGGTAATAGTCACAATAGGTTTTATGAACTAAATTGACTTTTTTAAAACTGAATTCCATTTAAAAATAAGCAATCCATAATTACTGGGGGTTATTTTAATTTCCCTGTTCACATCTCCCTGCAAAAACAATTTAAGATTAATAAAAGCTTATTGCTTCTTTATTATACCTCTTACCTTTCCTGGAGAAATGCATAAGTCCTCTTTCTGAATTATCTGTGAACTTGATTTAATGACAAAGAACACAGTGAATGAAAGGTCAAAAACTATCTGAAAGTGAATGCTAATCAAATATGTTGATCTTACTTTTCAATAACATCTGCAATGAACTGGCTAGCCACTTGGGCCTCTTCCCCAGGCGGTCCTGACCGAAATCTCGATGAACACAGAGGTGGTAGATCCACATTAGGAACTGAAAGAAACACTCTGCAGCTATGAACTAAACTTCACCATCTGGTGTGTGCTTTCAAAAAACCCAGGCAAGAAAAAAGTGACATGGTAGTATAAACGAAGAATCTTTAATAGAAACAAAAAACTTTGTGGTAACAGCCTTCCATGCTTTGGTCTGCTTTCTTAGTTGATGACAAATGAATAACAAAAATTGATCGAACCATTTGATAGGGAAGTTTATGAAAATACTATTATATTGCTATTATGTTATCTTCTAACAGAAAACTTTAGGAATGTCTGTTTCACTCGTCTTTTTCCGAGTCTTACAAATAATTTTCTTTAACTACTATGACTTAACTACCATGTTAATATTAATATGTTAAAAGTATCTGTATGAAAATTACAAGACCATTTAACTTACCAACATAACCCTTATCAGGGGTGTCCGCTGGTGGCGTTGCAAATTCCTACAGAAGCAAACAAATGTCTCTTGTGACAGAAGCTACTAAAAAGTTGTGAAGACATCAGTTACTGAACGCTTTAACAAAGACTATCTTAGTTAACTACCACATAAACATCTATGCTTTGGGAGTGATGTCAGGAGCACCATGGACACTAATGCCAATCCTCACATTAGCTATACAAGATAAAAAGGCAGTGTAACATACTTGACTATACTGTAGTGTTACTCAAAGATTACCTGGGCAATCTTTTAAAAAGTCTTAATTGGATTTATGCCCCACCCTTATTTCCACTCACTCTGTAGCCAAGAATCTGAATTTAAACCAAGCGATGCTAACAGATTTAGAACTGCGGGTAAAGTGGTCAAAAGCTTTGGAATCACTATAAGCTGGTTCAAAGAGCATCACGCTTCCTGAGACATTTTGGGTAAGTTAACCTCTTATCATTCAAGGTTAACATCATTACAACAGGAAGTAATAGTGCCTAGTTCTAGACACTGTCAATGTGAATGAAATAAGTCCCTGGCATAATACCTGGCAGGTGCTCATATCTTAGTGTCAGCTATAACTCTAGCTTTACTGAGGAAAATCTGCTCTTCAGTAACTCACAAAATAGATTATAGCCAAAAAAGTATAAGCTTTGGAGTCAGATTTATGTCTATAAATGAGCATTATATTGCACGACAAATTACTGCACCACATGTAAAACAAGAGATGAAAGATTATACCTTAAATAATTTTGTAATACATGGTCTCTAGGACATGGGGGGGCACTCAGTAGACAGACAGCTATTATTCCCTCAAACTTTGCTTTTGAACAATCTCATTTTCTACACACCTGCAAAAGTTAAATGCCCTCACTAGATAAAAGAATATCACCAAAAACCTCTTAATTTGTCAAATAAGCAATCTTAAAATTTAAAGGTGGTGAGGATTTAAAATGTTTCATTTTAGTATATTTGAGCAATGTTCATAAAATTATAATTAAGACTCATTACTTGGGCTGTATTATCTAGTACCACAAGTGAAAGCTCTTGGTAAATAAGAACATACTAAAAAATTGATACCTGACTGCCTAGTCAATAGTAGAATTATAGGTGTATTTTATAATTTTAAAAGCAAATAAAACTAATTTGGTAACTCAAATATCAATAAGACATATATTAAACCCACCGCTTTAATTCCACAAATTACTGTTGTGTTTCCAAGCTTCACTAAAGCAGAACCATCTGCAGTACTAATTGAACCTGAAAAAAATTAAAGTCCATAAAAAGAAAATTTCATTTTGTACACATAACTATCTTGCTACACATCTCAGTTACCTGAATATTTATTCCTAACTAGAGTCAGTTTAAAACTACATATTTAAAACTACTACTATTTTAGTATGGAGGTTTTTCAAAATATTAGAAACAGCTACCATATGACCCAGCAATTCCACTCCTATGCATCTACCCGAAGAATGCAAAAATACTAATCCAAAGAGAGATATGAGCTCCTAGGTCCACTGCAAGGGCTGACAATAGCCAAGTTAACAGCAATAAGCTAAGTGCCCTAGGACAGAGGAGTGGATTAGAAAATTGTTGGAGGGCCTCCCCGGTGGCACAGAGGTAGAGCGCTCGGCTGCAAAGCTGCCCTCAGCCTCTGCAGTGCTGGTTCGATCCCCGGCCGCCGGCGAGGGTCCCACATGGCGCAATAGACCTCTCCTGTAGCGCCCGCTGCTCCCCTCAGCAGTGTATTTTGTCAGTCTGCCTGTTCTGTTCCCCGCTCTGTCTCTGATGAATTCTCTCACCCTCCCATGCTTCTGACTGTACCCAGTGCTTGTATAAATAAATAAATCTTTTTAAAAAAAATTTTAAAAAAAAGAAAATCGTTGGATACAATTTACACATCTATTTAAAACAAAAAAAATCTTGCCATTTGAGACAACATGGATGGAACTGGAAAGGGTCATGATAAGGGAATTAAGTCCAAAGGAGGAAGACATACCAGATGGCTTCACTTACATGTGAAATACAGAGAAACAAAGGGTCAGACAAAACCAACTAATAACAAACCCTTGACATTCTCATTGCCAAACTGAGGCAAACAGGATAGGGTGGTGTGGCAGGAGCAGAGGAGGGAGGAGGTCCATTGGAGCACAGTGGAGAATTATCAGGGTTTTGGTGGTAGGCGTAGAGTGAAAACATTTGCAGAAGTCTGAACCTACAACCCCTAAAATACAATGATGTAAACCAAATACCTCAATAAATGTAATTGGACAAGGAAAAAAAAATAAGCCACCGTTTTAAGAATTATTCACCTGTCCTGAATGAGTAAATCATTTTTCATTCAGATGTAGGATTGTTATACAGACAAAATTCTCTGAAACTACAACCCCTAAAATACAATGATGTAAACCAAATACCTCAATAAATGTAATTGGACAAGGAAAAAAAATAAGCCACTGTTTTAAGAATTATTCACCTGTCCTGAATGAGTAAATCATTTTTCATTCAGATGTAGGATTGTTATACAGACAAAATTCTCAAAATCATTCAAATCCTTTAACCTGGTAGAATTTGGCTGAAATACTGTTGAAATGGTTCAGAGGCTAAAACTGTAACAGGATTTAAAAGTATAAAACATAAGAAAACCACATCTTGGAGGTTTGGGAGAAAGGGAGAAAAACACATTATGGTAACTTCGAAATTTAAAGTGAACATATCAACTGAGGAACTAATTATTTAAAAACAATTTACAAGTAAAAATTCTCTAATAGTATAAAAAAATCAAACATTTTCAAAGTGGGAAGCAACTTCAACATTCTATTTAGAACTCAATGTATCCTCACCTATGTTGATAGTTGTTGTTCTGAATTCACCAAGTTCTCTTCCATCAGGACGGCAATTCTCTTTCTACAACATGTAGTATTTTAGAAATTTTTTTTTATTAGTTACATCTACATGTATATTTTACCCTAGGGAAAACAATAAGCCTCATCAATTCAAATAACAATTTGAATTACTACAAAATTGTCTTTAAAAGAGGCATGATATTGTTATTAAAACACATAACATGTATATAACTACCTAAACTCACCAAAAATCTCCTGTAATACTCCAAAGGTTCCACAGTTCTGAAACAAAATAAACATTCTTAAGAGGTGAAGCAGCATGTATCTCCACAATTCATAACTTGTTTCTTTCATGAATTCTGACACTTATGTTACTCATGATTATACAAAGCAGACACCCTTGCAGTAACAATCAACTGCTGTCCTTAACTCTGCCTGAAACAATTAGATTGGAGTCCAAAGTGGGGCATCTTTAAAAGAGGATTTAGGGCCTCCCGGTAGCACAGTGGTTGAGCGGCCTCTGCAGCGCCGGTTCAATCTCCCGCTGCTCTCCAGCCAGGAGGAGGGTCCCACATGGCGCGCAGACCTGTCCTGCCGCCCACTGCTCCCCTCAGCAGTGTACTTCTGTCCTTCTGCCTGTTCTGCCCCCTGCTCTGGCTCTGGTGAATTCTCTCACCCTCTAGCACTTCTGACTGTACCCAGCACTTGTATAAATAATAAGTAAATAAATAAATCTTTAAAAAAAAAAGGAGGATTAGTCAAGTGTTAAAATAATGTCATTCTCATTCTGAAACAAGGATTCTTAACTTTGTGATCATAAAAAAAGTTAACATCATTGTCACTGTGCTAAAACTGCAATTTAGCATATTTAATAATGATTTAGCATATTTAATAATGATTATGATGGCAAAAAGCCATCATATTAGCTGCATATGCTACATTAACAACCAGAATGATAGGATGCTTTTGTTTCTCATAATAATCAAGAATAGCACCAAAAAAGCCTTAGGTAAAACCTTCCACATATGATTTTTTTTTTTTTTAAAGAAAATACACAAGTACATGGCATGTAGCTCTGATGCAGCTTTTTTTTTTTAAAAAAAATTACAGATATCCGCCCACAACATTGCAGAATAAAGAGGTTGGGATCAACCTTTCTCCTAAAAACAACTATAAAAAAGAACTGATATGAGCAAAGGATATACACCGGAACAATGAAAGACTTCAATACATGGTGTTGGGAAAACTGAACTACAACATGCAAGAGAATGAAATTAGACTTCTGTCTCACAAAATACACAAAACTGAACTCAAAATGGATAAAAGACTTGAATGTAAGAGCTGACACCATAAAATATATAAAAGAAAACATAGGCAAAACATATCATGACATAAACCTCAGAAACATCTTTGAGGATGCTTCTCCAGAATCCAGGAAAACAAAGGAGAAAATAAACAGCTGGAACGACATCAAACTGAAAAGTTTCTATAGGCAAAAAAGAAGGTAAACAAAACCAAAACCCACCCTACCGAATGGGAGAAAATATTTGCACATCATATAACGCATAAGGGACTTACACCACAGATCTACAAAGAGCTTACACAACTCAAAAACAAACAACCCAGTCAAAAATGAGCAGAAGAACTAAATAGACACTTCTGCAAAGAAAAAAGTACAAATGGCCAACAGACACATGAAAAAATGTTCTACATCAGTAATTATCAGGAAAATGCAAATCAAACTGTTATAGAGCAGCCCCCCCTAACAAAACTACAATGAGATACCACTCACACTGGTGAAAATGGCCCACATTAAAAAAAAAAAAAATGGAAAGAACAAATGCTGGAGAGGATGTGAAGAAAGGAACCCTCTTACACTGCTGGTGGTAGTGTACACTGGCACAGGGATTATGGAAAGCTGTATGGAGGTTCCTCAAAACATTAAAAATGGATCCAGGGGTTCCACTCCTAGGAATCTACCCAAAGAACACAAAAACACTGATTCAAAGGAAAGCTGCGCTCCAACCCGTGATAGTTCACGGGTAATATGGTGGCAGAACTATGGGGACTATACCTGAAAGAGAAACCAATTATTGTACAAAAACAAACAACGACGTAAGAAAATAAAAAATGCCTAAATAAAATTTAAAGAGTAAAAGATTAAAACTGTCTCCTGGTATTGCACGTCCACTACACATCAAACCAGAACTGTACACAGTTCCTTCCCTCACGCATCACACGCGGTTAAGATGAACCCTTCCCCTTTCAGTACCACCCCCTGCCCTTCTCCTGGCTCTTCCAGGGGAAAAGAAGTAGAACCCTGACGGGGTAGCCTCAAAATGAAAAAACACGGGCCAAGGATAAAAATAAGCCGCTATCTGCCCCACCACAAACTCGCGCCCGCCAGCCGCACAAACTCACTTGAACCCAGCCGCCATCTTCCCGCCGGACGCCTGCGCCTGCGCCTTAGCGACAACGCACCTCCAGCTCACGAGTGTGATCAGCTTCCGCACTTTCGACACTAACTGCCGTGTTCCTCTCCCCCTGCAGGAGATGGAGAAGGTCGGGAAGAACCACGCGGTGGTTCCCGGCCCAGCATAGCTTCGACCGCCTCTAAACGAACGCCCTTCTAGGTGTCCTTGCCAGCAACATATTTTGACGAATCTACGATCGGAAAAGTGAAGGCTATCTTTCCTTAGAGACAGATTGCTGATACGAGTTTAAGTGAAAACCTACTTTAGAGCAAAGAAAGGATCGAGTATTGAATGTGGAGCATTATTCCTATGTTCCAGCGTTCTTTTCCCGCCTCCGCCTCACGCTGGGCTCTGGGCCTACCTCTCCCAGGTAACGGGCTACCTGGTCCAGTAGCGGAGAGTTATATAAACGTTGTGTGCGCTCCTCCCCGCAGCCGCTTACGACGTGCAGGTCTCCGAGCGGCTCAGCAGAGCTGTTATGTTGTAGACTCTGTCATGACTTGGGGCTTCCACCTCCCTCCTAGATAAAATACAGGACACCCAAATAAATGTGATTTTCTGGTACTTAGTAAGTTTTAACTGGTGTGCCCGAAGCAGTGCATATTACAGCGGGGAAAGTTTTAGATACAGAGAGTGGTGATGGTTGCAGAGAATCGTGTATGTAATCAATGCCACAGTATTATATGGTTAAAATGTCAAATTTTATCAGTTTTGTTTAATGTAAAACACCAAAAACTTTTGAGTTGTCGAATTGTAGGGTATACGTATTATGTTTCAAAAAGCTGTTTATAAAAACCATCAGTTGCTCGGCCTCCCCGGTAGCGCAGCGGTTGAGCGCTGGGTGGCGAAGCTGCCCGCAGCCTCGGCGGTGCCGGTTCGATCCCCGGCTGCTCCCCGGCCACCGGAGGAGGGTCCCACATGGCGCGCAGACCTCTCCTGCCGCCCGCTGCTCCCCTCAGCAGTGTACTTCGGTCCTTCTGCCTGCTCTGCTCCCCGCTCTGGCTCTGGTGAATTCTCCACGCTCTGGCTCTGGTGAATTCTCTCGCCCTCCCGCGCTTCTGACTGTACCCAGTGCTTGTATAAACAAATAAATCTTTAAAAAAAAAACTATTAAATACCATCAGTTGCTTATCTGAAATTCCTGTTAAGTACATAACCCTGCAGTTTTCCTGGCAACCCTTCCTGGGCGCCCTGTCGCGTTCTTGCCGCGCGGGGGCGCTGTGGGCGGCGGGCGCCCAGCGGCGCGGCCTCTCTCCAGCCAGGCCTCTCTCCTGCGCGGCCGCGCTTCCGCGTGTGTGTAGGTGCTAGGAGGGCGGGCGGCGGCGGCCTGGGCATGGAGGATGGCTCCGCTCCTGCTGCAGCTGGCGGTGCTTGGCGCGGCGCTGGCGGCCGCAGCCCTGATACTGGTGAGGAGAGGGGTTTGGGGGCGACGCGGGCCTGGGCGCGCCGCTGCCCTGGAGGCTCGGCCACCAGGCGTCCCCTCCTCCGCTCTAAGCTCTTTGACGTGTCCCTTTTCACCATGCTTCGCCTCACCCCGCACAGCCTTTACCCTAGATTTTCCTCTCCTAGAATTCTCCTCCCCTTTCTTTCGTGATTTATTTTTATTTTGGAGTTTTATCTCCTCGTGTACCCAAAGCCTTGTGCGTTTTTCACATTGGGACGTGCCCACTCAGCCTTCCATTCCCCTTTTCACTGGCCCACCAGCCCTGTCAACCCGGACTTCCCCAGGATTTCCTCCCGACCCTGCAGGCTCTGCAGTTCTGGCCCCACGCGGGGAGATCTTGAGTCCCCAGAGAATGTGTGCTCTCTAGACTCTCCTCTTTCCTGATACGGTTAAGCAAATAGAATGTGATGGCAGAGCACAGACTGGAGCCATTTATTACAGATTGGAATAATTCAGTGTATCAAAAAGACTCAATAGAGACTCAGGATAAAGCCTGGTGTGACAAAGCCTGGTGTGACCTGGTGTAACCATATGTCTGGGGGTCTTTATGTCCCAGAATTAAGCACCCTAAATTTGCTGCCTCTAAATGAAGCAGTACAATAGACTTCAAGTTCTGACTTTTTTTTTTTTGCTATTCCTCAGGAAACAGCTCTGTAAACACTTGCTGATCCATAAGTAAAAGAAAATTGTAAAGTAAACTTTTCTGCTATAAACAAAAAGTCTTTGCTTAACGTTTGCTTGGAAACTGATTTTAAATAACTGTGAGGAAATCAGGTCCTTGACTAACTGATTTCAGTATCAGCAGAGATTCTATTTTTTTCCTCATCGAGGAAACTTGCTGTAATTTGGAACGTACCTGCCATATTATTAATAAATAGAGAGGTTTCCCTGTTCTTTGGCATTTAGATTAGCAGCCTAGAATAGCACACTGCCTGCAGAGCCACTTTGTCATTCTCCCAGGATGTCTCCCAACTTAGAAACAATTTTAACAGAGAAGAAACAATATATCCTGATTTCTTTGGTAATTTGGGTCTGCATAATAGAAGAATCTTCTCTTTTCCATTTTCGGTATTTTTCAGATTTTTTAGAGCAAGCCAGGTTTTTAGTGGAGCAAAGTTGGCGCCAAATCCTAAATTGAGTCTGCTGCACAAATTTAAATATGTACATTATGAAGTTGTTCTGGGAGTATTTGATCCCACTGGCTTAAAGTGATAATAAGAGCTACCACTTAACAAGTTCATACAATATATTGGGTATTCAGTGTTTAACAGAGATTATCTCATTTGATCTTTAAAACAACACTCCGACATAAATGTGGTCATTATCTTCATTTGGGGGAGGATAAGGAAGTTGGAGAAATGAGTTCATGTACTCAAATGCCACACAGCTAGTGAAAGTTTGTCTTTTGAATGTGAGTAGAAAATCTTTCTATATGTCTGTAATATATATCCACCCTCCATACTTCCTTCCCATCCCACTTCCTTTCTGAATTATTTTGAAGCAAATCCAAGACAATATTTTATCTGTAAATCCTTAGCACTTATCTCTTTTAAAAATAAAACCACAAGAAGGTTATCACAGATTTTAAAAAGTTTAGCCATCATTCTGTGATTCAAATGTCCAGTTGGTTCAAATATATGGTTGTCTCATGAATATCTTTGTATAGTCTGTTCCAATCAGCATTTACACAGCACTTGTCTGACAGCTGTCAAGTCTATTAACCTGTCCAATTTCTCCTCCCTTTTTTCTTTTCCTTAGGTAAGTGGCTATTTGTCCTATAGAATTTCTCACAATCTGGATTTTATTGATTTCATTCCCTTGGTGACTTTTGACATCTTTGATCCCACTGGAGACTAAGGGTGCAGAGCAGGAATTAACCATTTGTCTGCTGCTGCTTCCTTGCTCCTACTAATCACATTCAATTTCAGTTTGTACACAATGGAATATTATGAATGGATGAATGGCCATCAAATTACAAATGAATAGCATTCTAAAAATTTGTAGATTTATTGTTTTGAGAGCAAAAAGTGTACCAGCAGAAACAATTTTTATACAAAAATTTTTATACAAGTTTATACAAAAGAAAATATTGTGTTCTAATCAAATTTGGGATAAGTATGAAGAATATTACTGGTCCCTACTATGGGAGTTGAGACAATATCTCATACCCTGAGGAACTGAAGATTGCCTTCACCCCACACATGTCAGACTGCCATATGAGTTTGTCCTCTGTTAGATATAGGCTTCACCTGAGGGTGGGACTTCACTGTTTCTGCCAGGGGCTGGGGAATCGAGGGCATGTGAGAGTAGATTATGTTTCTGTAGTGACTGTTCCCTGTATTAGATCTGGGGTGACAGAGACCTGGGGAATGAGAGCTGGGAAAACACAAAGATCCTCCTAATGGAAAAAGAATGGTACTGTACTAATGGAAAAAAAATGGTAGGTCTTAAGAAGGGGACTGTCTTTGACTTTTGGATTAGCCTTCAGACCATTTTATTTCTAAAAACTCTGTACTCTGTAAGCATAATGAATGTTAAAAAAAAGGTCAGCATAACATAATTTCTTTTTAACATATCTACTTTTAGATTTCCTTTGTTGCATTTATAACTGCTACAGAAATGCCACGCCTTCACCAACATGAAGAAGAAAAGTTCTTCTTAAATGCCAAAGGCCAAAAGGAAACTTTACCCAGCATATGGGACTCACCTACCATACAGCTTTCTGTTGTTGTGCCTTCCTACAATGAAGAAAAACGATGTAAGTCCTATTTGATTTTTTTTTTTTTTTTTTGTCAAGGAGTAGTTTGGGAAATAAAGAAAATTTACCATATTATACTTTACTGTCTTTGTCAGAACATTAATAGATGTGGGCTATGATGAGTGCATAGTTGGTAGTTGTTAGTGCAGAAAAGGGGAAGTGAATATTAGCTAGAAAGAATAGAAGCAGTGTCATGAAGGAATGGTACTGAAATATAATGAGGAACTATGTAAACAGAAGACAGATGTCCTAGATGGAAGTGGAGAAAGGGACTAGTTATATTATTTGGATTTTTTCCCACGTAAACTGCTGGGGCTTGATAAATGATTTTCAAAAGTGATTTTTAATATGTGTGTTGATCTCTTTTAGTGCCTATAATGATGGATGAAGCTCTGGGCTATCTAGAGAAGAGACAGGTATCATGTTCCTCTTTCAATATGCTGTCTCCAATTAATACCAGACCAGGTCCACTAGCTTGTGGACCCCAAGCTAGATCCACTGTGAGGGCCAGTACCAACTGTGCACAAGCCATCGTGACCAGTAGGCCTCATGGTGCTCTGTTTTCCACGTGCCATTAGCTATTAGCAGCCAGGCCCAGAAGTAGCATGCCACCTCCAGGGGCAAGTGGCTTATCCCGAGCAAACAGAAAAGCTAAAATTCCTGAAAAGTGAACTTCCCACCCGCTTTTTATCCTCTCTTGCCTAATGATATATTTTAAATTGGGTGACAGGTATCTGCAGACTCTGTATGACAACACAATGCTATTTTTACTTTTGTGCCTTTTTAAGGACGACGTCCTTTT